AGTAAAATTATTTGAATCCACAAAATAAATTATAACTTCAAACTTTTAATTTCAGCAACAAGTTGAAATGGATTTTAAAGTTTTACATAAAACGAACGATGCGATTGCTTCCCGTAACATTTTTTATTGTTTTTCTATTTTATTCATCAAGCACAGAAACTTTAGCACCATATGACCTTGGTGTGAATAAAGAAGCTAAACTTTGGGTTTTACCAATTGCGTTCAATTTTATGGATTATCCGAATACTGTAAGAGCTAGTTCTAGGGATGGTTTCTAAGGCTTCTAGTTTAGGAGCTGAAGGGATGGCTTCTAGTTTATTTTTTAATAGGTCTAAATAATTTTGATCATTTTACAATTTTATTTTAGTATGTAGCCTTCATCTGGTTTGTTCCTGTATTCCTGCAACTAAGCCTAGTTGCACCTTTTGTACTGATGCTGACAAAAATAGAAAAATATGGAAATTATTTTGCAATTTTATTGATGACTGCTTTTGGTGTTGTTAGAATGCTTCACACATCTGATTACTATTACGGTCATGTTTTGCAGACATCAATGGTTCAGTAATTTGCTTTTTTGGGTCAACTTAGTGCGCAAGTTTTGAAAGAGTTCACAATTCATCGACTCCTTTTCCTTAATTTTTAAATTTCAATTAATCTCATTTATTACAGAAATTATGGAAACGATTTAATATTTCACAAATATATTGCATTAAGACTCAGATTCCTTCCATTTTTTGCTGGAGTTGTTTTGGAGAAATTTTTAAACTGTAAAAGTGCTCAAGATATGGTAAGTACATCTAAAGTCTGCTTTAATTATTAAATGAAGAACTTTAAAGTTCATCATGATTTTTTGGAATCGAACCTCGCACATCTCAATTGCCGGTCAAGTGCTAAGACCACTATGTTATCAGGCTTTGTTATTGGAACTGGCAGAATGCCAATATAAGTGAGCCACTGCTTTTCAATTGTTCTGTTACAGAGCTTATAACCTTTAGTGTTTTAACTAATTTGTCTCAAAATCGCAGTGGCTAGGCCCTAAGTTTGAGTCAACTCAAAGACAGACAAAGCTATTAAATGAAAGAACTTTAAAGTTCAACAAGATTTTGTTTTTCAACTGAGCACTTGACCAGCAATGGAGAGGTGCGAGGTTCGATTAATGCTCGGGACGAACCATTGGATGAATTTTTTGTTTTCTACAATTTTTATACCTCGTTTACAGTTTTATTTAAAAGTTGCATCAGGTTTTGGCGCCATAATCTCAGTTCCTTTAATCATCACAGGAGCAATGTATTTTATTCCTCAACTGCTCTCAATTGCTGACGTTATCATTGTCGCAGTTTTCATTTCAATTCTTTATTTTGGTCATCATAGCGACTGGAAAATCAAAAAAATTCTTTCGCATAAAATTTGGGAGATAATTTCTAAGATGGGTCTTAGTGTCTACCTCATATCCAGTTACTTTTTATTTACAATTCATGAACGACAGTTGGAACCGCAAGAAATAGAAAATGAATTACAATTTGTAAGTTTTTTTTTAATATTATAACTGACTTTTGTCTTTGTGTGGCTGTATGTCTGTATGTCTGTGTGTCTGTATTTCTATGTGTCTGTATGTCTGTATGTCTGTGTGTGTGTGTGTCTGTCTGTGTCTTCCTTAATTTGTCTTATTTTGACTGATTTTAAATTTGTTTATTTTTCATACCTTAGCTTGGGCTTTGCCTTTTGGATGTTCCTAAAATAATCATAGCCGTGCTGCTAACATTCATATTAATCGAAGAACCCTTATCAAGGCTTGGAGATTATATTGCAAATAAACTAATTTAATTATCTATTCAAATGGTGTCCAACCTTTTTTGTGCCACTGCAAACTTGTTTGTAAACCATGACCGAAAACGCTTACAGTGTACGGTTTGTGAGATATCTAAAAAAAATTCACTAGTGTGCCCCGGCACACAGCTTAAGCATCACTGAGTCATCCCAAGACCAGAATCAGATCAGCCTTACATCAGATTATTGATCTTCTCGATAAGTCAAAACAAAAATGTTAACAACCTCTCAAAAAATTGTAAATAAAAACAAAACTTTCCATGTGTTTACCAATCTGTAAATAATAAAGAATTCTAAACAAATTAAAAATTCTGCTAAAATGACGACAAATGTTTTTATCAATAAAAAAAACTTGTTTGCGAAAATAAAAAAAATTTTTATTTCATAACAAAAAAAAACGTCCTTAATAAGTTTGCAACCCGAAAATAAATATTGGAACAAACATTTCGATTCATTCAGTATTGCTTAGAATCTTAAGAACAAATGTTCTAAAATAAAAGTTCGCGGTCAGCAAAATATATCTTTTTTTATTATTGAATAAACTGAATTAATTTTAATTAAAGTGAAAAGTTTAAAATTATTTAAAATGAAAATTATTTCTGAAATTTTTGTGATTTTATTTGTGATTCAAATAAAAAGTTTGGAAGGATTATTACGTAAGTATCATTGAAAGATTAAGTTTTTGAATATTTCTTCTAATTTTTTCTGTTCAATATTGGAGCGATTTGAGTTTCTTTTGATTTTCTACATTCAATGGTTCAAAATATAATGAACACACCCGATTTAAACAATTTCAATGCTTTTGGATTTTTAAAAAAGAAATTTCGGGGCTGGTTTTAAAAACTTTTGATTTTATTGTCGAATTGTTCTCTTCAAGCCTTATTATTTATGGTGAAAACAAGTCTGTATGTTGATATTGTTTAAGTAAAAAGGGTCTTATGATTAGTTGACAATCTAGCAGAGTCACACCAGCATGGTGCTGGATTTCTATTCGATTAACCGACTTGTGCCATTGGGGTTAAGGATATAGAAAGATAAAAAGTAAAGTAAAATTATCGCAACCTAAACAAAACGATTTTCCATCAATTAGTATGACAATTCGGCTCAAAAAGTCAAAAGTGTTCCCGCATTGGAAAAATCTGTAATTTGCTGGGTGTTCTGCAGAAAACAAATCTCATAAATCTATTCTCATTTGTCCCATCAGTTCAAAATCTATCTCCTCCCACACCCTTACATTCCCTATGGCTAATGCAAGCATCTAAAGCTATTTACTGAAAAAGAATTTCCAAGTGTTTTACCTTAGACAAATCTTCAATTCTCAATTCATGCAATAACCGAAGAATTTATGAAATTCGAAAAAAGTATTGACCAAAAAAATCTAAAACTGTCAAAAAAAGGTTCAATTTATGTATCATCAAATGCAGCTGTTTGTAATTTTAACATTCTCTTATTTTTTGCAAAGTCATTTCGAATTCATTATCAGACACCTGATCAATAAAACACACTGAAAGTTTTAAAGCCACAAAAAAAGTTGTCTCGCCTGCAAATTAATTTGTAAACATTCTAATAAATTTTTATTCATTATTAAATCTTCAATTCTATAGAAAATATATTCTTGAGGTAGATAAGGAACTGTTGATAAATTTTATGTATTTTTTGCGCTAATTCTTTGACGTTAGCTTTATAGTTTGAATGCTTATCGTGATTTCATTGAAAATTCTAAATTTAAACTGCGGTCAAGGAATCGAGAAGCTTGCTTGTTTTGAATATTTTATAGTTCTTTCATCGATCAATCTTTAAATAACTTTTTTGTTGACGATTTTTTTTATTTTCAGCACCAAACATTAAAACGTGCCGTCGTAATGACCCTAACATCAGTGAATGTATTGTTCGGTCCGTTACAGCACTTTTACCTAAACTTGCAACTGGAGATTTAGGGGGAGGATTTCAAGTTCCAGCTTTGGAGCCATTTGTTTTAAAAGAGTAAGTTTTGTGGCACTAAAGATTAGGTTTTAAAAAAATGCGGTTTAAGAATTAATCAATTAACTGAAATATCAATTTTACAGGATAGTCTTTGGTGAGGATGACGGTCTTAAGGTACAATTAAATAACATCAATGTTCATGGAACGACAAAATTCAATGTTGAAAAATTGCGGTAAAAAAATATTTTAAATCAAAAAAAAATTTAAAAATAAAAATTTTGTTTCCATTTTCCAGCATAAATGTGAAGGACCTCCGATTTGATGTTTTAGTTATGCTTCCCAAATTAGATATCGTTGGAAAATACAAAATGTCGTTTAACTTTTTGGGTGCACCAGTTCTAAGTGACGGAGACTTATATACCCAGTTTTCAGGAGCTAAAATTAGAGCAACAATGAAAGGTCACCGCTACATTAAGAACGGAAAGGAATTCATCAAGTTTGAGCCATTTGGAATTAAATTTGACAGAGGTGTCGCCAGTGGACTTAAAATCACAAATCTTTTTAATGGAAATAAAGTTTTAAGTGAGATTGTGCATGCACTGCTTGGTAGTAATCCAGATTTTGTGATTAAAAATATTTATCCGGCACTTGAGAATAATCTGTCGAAGATCTTCACCAATGTTGGCAATACTGTCGTTGAGCAAGCTTCTTTTGATGAACTGTTTCCATTGTAAATAAATTGCTGTATTTTTAAGACTTAATAAAATAAGGAATTATTGAATCAATCAAATTAAATCAAATATTGCATCTTTGTTACTATTAAGGGGAAATCAACATGGTATGAAAACGTTTTGAATCCTATCCTAGTCTCCTATCCTAGTCTCCAATCCCAGTCTTGTATCTTAGTCTCGTATCCTGGTCTTCTATCCTAGTCTCTTAACCTAGTCCTTTCCTAGTCTCTTATCCTAGTCTCCTATCCTGGTCTCCTATCCTAGTCTTGTATCCTAGTCTCCTATCCTAGTTTCCTATCTTAGTCTCCTATCCTACTCTCCTATACTAGTCTCCTATCCTAGTCTCCTTCCCTAGGCTCCTACCCTAGTCTCCTACCCTAGTCTTCTATCCTAGTCTCTTAACCTAGTCCTTTCCTAGTCTCTTTTCCTAGTCTCCTATCCTGGTCTCCTATCCTAGTCTTGTATCCTAGTCTCGTATCCTATTCCTACCCTGGTCTCTTATCCAGGTCTCTTATCCTAGTCCTTTCCTAGTCTCTTATCCTAGTCTCCTATCCTACTCTCCTATACTAGTCTCGTATCCTATTCCTACCCTAGTCTCTTATCCTAGTCTCCTATCCTAGTTCTGTCAATAGCATCAACATAATCAAACTTATCAACGTGCTCAGATTGATGCTTGAGAAAAGTTTGAGAATCTCAGCAAAATGACTAGCAAAATAGGACAATAATAATTTTATAAACTAGTTTTTATAGCATAGTCAATTTACTGACATAAAACTTGTTTCATTTTTGTTCTTCCTTGTCAAATCCTATCGAAAATAGAGAAATAAAAATGAAATTTTAAAGATTTCTTAGTTCTGTCTCGAATTTTCTAGTGTTAAGATTAAAAGAATTCAAAAACTTACTGATCTGGAATTGCTTTGAAAACAATGAGATTTTACCAGATTTTATTAATATTTCACGTGATTAAAGTCACATTTGAAGCTCTCCGTAAGTTTTATTTCTTGAGATGAGTTTCTCAGTTCATTAAATTATATTTTTTTATTGAAAAGCGCCATCAATAACAAGCTGCAGACGAAATAATCCGAACATAAGTCAATGTATAGTGAATGTAATGGAGAAGATGCAACCAGCATTAGCAACTGGTGATTTGGGAGGTGGATACACTGTTCCGAAGCTAGAGCCGTTGTTTATAAAGTAGTAAGTATTAAGTTGTTATGCTTGAGAGTTCTTAAAGTTGTTGTTTTTAAATACTAAGCACAGACGATTTTTTCAGGCTTAATAATCAAACTAGTTTGAATATTTGAATATGTAAGTGTTTAGAAACCTAGACTGATGCTTACAAGTCATGATTGACATCAAATGAGATTTTCAACATTGTTTTCATTCAAAAATGTCAAGCCTTTTAAAATTTATTTTTTTTTTTCAAATTTTAATTTTTTTTTTAATTTTTAAACCTATTAATAATTTTAGCATGGACTTTGGTGAGAGTGGAGGTGTAAGAATTCAATTACATGACGCTAATATTTATGGATGTTCAAAATTCAAACTTGATAAGCTTCGGTAAGCAGAATCTTTTAAAATCAGACTGTTAAAATAATTTAATAAAAATATATTTTTAGTGTCAACATGAAAGACCTGAAATTCGATGCACTCGTCAGTCTGCCACCATTCCAAGTCATTTCAAAATATCAAATGGAATTCAACTTTTTTGGAACTCGCTTAAAAAGCACCGGAGATTATTTTGCCGAACACGCGGGTGCTAAAATCATCATGCCAATCCGAGGACATAGAACAGTCAAAAATGGAGTTGAAGTTGTAAAATTCGATAAAATTGCACTAAAATTCGATCGAGGCAAAATTACTCAGCTTAAAATTTCAAATCTTTTTGGAGGAAATAAGTCAATCGAAGAAATTATTAACGCACTCGTTTTAAACAACCAAGATTTTGCATTACAAAACGTTAATCCACAGATGGAAATAAGATTGTCTGAAATTTTCACAGAAATTGCTAATAAAGTTGTCGCAAATGCCTCTTTTGATGACATTTTTCCATTGTAGATCAATCCTGGCTAATTTTAAGGAGTTGTTTTGAAGGAATATCTTCTGTGAAACCTGCAATTAAAGTGATAAAGCGTGCGAAAATGTTCAAAAACTTCAAATTTTGTTGGACATCATTTGTTAATAAATCCTTTACAAAAATAAAGAATCTTATTTTTTTAAACAGTTAATTGAGTCATTTTTTGAATCCAAAAATATCAAGCAGCACAAAATCATCAATCTGCATGAACCCTGCCTTATAAAGAACTTGTTATTCAACGATATTCCTTTTATAATTTTTAGAGTATGCATTTAGTTCTGTTTTGTTGGTCTGAGATTAAAGATTTATTTTTTTTAAAGTTTGTTCCTAAAATGATAAAAATATTTAAGTTTTTCATAATTTTTATTTTAGTTGAGTTATCTTTTGAGAAATTACGTGAGTTGCTTTAAAATTAAGCATCAGTTAAAAATTTCTAAAACTTTAAGTTCTTTAATAGCACCAACAATTCCTAAATGTCAAAGAAATGATCCAAATATAAGCGTCTGCATAGCAAAAGCAATCGAAGTTCTTAAACCACGTTTTGAAACTGGAGATTTTGGCGGTGGATATCTGATTCCTAAACTTGAACCAATGTTTATTAAGGAGTAAGTAATTGTTTAAGTTTCAAACTTATTTTCTATTTTTTGGCTCATTTTTGGGTTAATGTTAAATAAAAGCTGTAACTTATATCCATAAACAGGCTTAAACATCTTAAAATGTAAGATTTAGCTTTAATTTTAATTCAAATTTATTCCAAACAGAATGAATTTTGGGGAAGGTCAAGGACTAGACATCCGTTTATTTGACGCAAATGTTTATGGAGTCACAACATTTAAAGTTGAAAAATTACGGTAATTATTGATCCACAAAAAAATGTCCCATACTAATCTCATAAATCTATATTTCAGTGTCAACATGAAGGACCTAAAATTTGATGCTCTTATCAGCATTCCAAAGCTCATGACATATTCAAAGTACCAAATGGCATTTAAGTTTTTTGGCAATAATCTTAAAACCAATGGAGACTATTTCATAGTTCATAATAATGTCAAGCTGATTCTACAAATAAAGTTAAAAAAGATCATAAAAAAAGGAATCGAAGTCATCAGAGTTGAGCCGATTCCAGTTCAATTTGACAATGGATCAATATCTCAATTGAAGATCTCAAATTTATTTGGAGGGAATAAAGCAATTGAGGAAATTATTCATGCGATATTAATTAATAATCCAGAATTTTCAGCAGGCAATTCTATTCCTGTGATTGAAGCAAGCTTGTCATCAATATTTACGGATCTTGCCAATAAAATCCTTGATACAACAACTTTTGATGAAATGTTTCCAATTTCTTTATGAATTTAAATAAAAAAAATTAAATTACAAAAAAAATTAAAATTTTAGATGAAATATTTAAAAGTTTACAAAGTAATAAAATGATAGAAATTCTTATTTCAGGCATAAAGGGTGTGAAACTAAAAAAATTGACTTTGATCAGCTTCTTGCCGATGTTCTGCATGGCATAGTAACTTAAAAATTGAAAATTGTTTTGATAAATTTTCTACAGTCCTAAATCAATAAAACCTCATTTTTTTAAAAAATTGTTGAAAAACAGAAATCAAGAATCGAACCTTGCTCCTCTCGATTGCCGGTCAAGTGTTCAGACCACTAAACTATCGAGCTTTGACATTGGAAATACCAATATATGTGAAGCACTCCTTTTCAACTTTTCTGTTCCAGAGCTTTTAACCTTATTCAATTATTTAAGGCTAATTGTATTGTTCTTCTTTGAAAATCAAGCTGGTTTTGTTGATTACTTACTGCTTATAAACCATGTTCCTATGTGAAGTTTAGGTTACAATAAAAGGCTTTCCATCTGACTCTGTTGCTGGCTCTGTCACCTAGTTTGTACAAATTCTCTGTTCGCTCATTAAGTTGACATTCTTTCATCACTGTTCTGGAGCCGGTAGCTTTTGGAACTCCTGGGTTTGTTGATTAACTGCGAGTAAAAGTTAACCAAAATTAAAAAGAAATTTGATGAAATTTCAATTTCAAAAGGCAAATAAGGACCCTTCTCAATGACTAAGCACTTGGGTCTATATTCAAATGCTGATTTCTACTGATGTGCATAACATGACATCATAATTAATGAATTTGATTTCAAATTTAAAGTCACGGACTTGCAGTTCGTTTATTTGAGATTGAGAAAATCACAGAAATGTTCCATTTTCATCTCTTAAATTCCTTATTTTGTTTCAACATAAAGTTCCTCATAATTCGATGCTCTTTTCCTAGTCCAAAGCTTAACATATATCAAATAGAATAAAACATCGGCAAAGAAATCTTGCTAAGTTCCTGTAATTAATTTTTGGTTCAAAAAGCTTCATTAAATCCTTTTAACTTTAAACATCCACAATATTGTGAAATCATTTTAAACTGGTTCAAAAATTAAGAATCATGGACGACACATAAATGCTAAGATGCATCCAAAGTTCTAAAATATTGCGACGTCATTGTGACTACTCTTTTTCTACTATTTATATCATTCTTTTCAAATAAAGTTTATTCAGTGATATTTCGGTGGTTCTCGTGTTAAGAACCAAAAGTTTTTAAAGTTTAAATTACTTTGTCGATTCAAACAACAAACAAAAATTAAAATGAACTATTTTAAAGTCATAATTATTTTATATTCAATTAAAATTTCATCCGGGATTTTACGTAAGTTTAGCAAGAAAAAAAATCAAATCTTTTTAAATATTAAAATTCAATTTATTCATCAACAGCACCAACAATTCCAGTATGTAGACGGAATAATCCAAATATGAGTCAATGTATTGCAAGTGCAATTGAAGTATTAAAGCCACGATTAGCATCAGGAGATGTAGGAGGTGGATATACAGTGCCTAAGATAGACCCGTTGTTTGTTAATGAGTAAGTTCAAATTTCATGAGTAAGTTGAACAATTAGATGTACGGTCGTGTCATTTGAGTTGAAACTTAACACTAGAATTGACACTAGTTTAATAATTTACTAGACATAATATCTAGTGTTCCGCTCAGGGGCATAGCCAAGAGTTTTTATTCATTCAGGGGGATAAGTCACCCAAATCTCCCTCCTCGCTCCACGTCTGGTTCCACTTAAGAGTTTTGTTACCATGAGTCTGCAGTTTTTTTTGGAAGATTTTCAAATTTTAATTGATTTTTTTTTTCAATCAACAGAATTAATTTTGGTGAAAATGATGGAGTTGCAGTTCGTCTATCCGGTGTAAACATGCATGGGATCTCTGGATTTAAACTTGATAAATTACGGTGAGTTTATTGTTGTTTATATCTGAAATTTGGCTTCTTTTTTGTCCTTATCCACCAAGGACGTAGTCAGGTAGCCCTTAAAAATGACATTAATCTTTTTCCATATTTTAGTGCTAACATAAATGATCTCAAATTTGATATCCTCATCACCATCCCAAAACTTACAACAACTGCCAAGTACGAGATGGGATTTAAATTCCTTGGAAATAAGTTAAACACAAACGGAGATTTTTTCATTACACATGAAAATATGAAAATTTTAATTCCAATCAGATTGAGGCGTGTCATTAAAAATGGAATTGAAGTCATCAGAGTTGACCCAATTGCTGTAAACATCTTGAATTTTAAAGTTACTAAAATCAACTTTTCAAATTTATTTGGCGGAAACAAAGCTATTGAGGATATTATTTATACAATTTTGATAAACAATTCTGACTTTTCATCTAAAAATGTTCGTCCAGCGTTTGAAGGAAATTTATCGAAAATATTTACTGATGTTGCTAATCGAATTCTTGATACAACAACATTTGATGAGATGTTTCCAATATAATTGATTATTGAAAGGACTTGAATATTATTTGGAACCTATGACGTCCTAGATATATCTTAACCATCATAACAGACGCTTAGCCAGGAGGGTATTGTTCCCCTTTAAACGTTTTGAAACGCAGCGAGAGAAAGGCTTAAATCGCTGAAGAGGGGAACAATACTCTCCTGGCTACTCGTCTGCATCATAACATCCCAAAGGCTCAGTTTAACATTTAAAACAAGTTAGAATAAAATTTTATAGAAGAACATCAATAAGAAACAAATTAAAATGCATTAAGAGCTCCTAATTATCATTCTGACATTTTATTTATTTAAAACTTGTTTGTTTCTCTTCTTTTTGTTTAATTAATTATTTATTTTTTCATATAAAATATTTTTCAGTTTTGGTTTGAAAATTCTAGTGAAAAGAACAATAAATCAAGATCATTTTAAACAATTAAATTTTCCACTATTTCCCTATGAACATAAATAAGTTTGAAATACGAAAGTTTTTGTTTTTAATTAAAGTATCATTTGGAAGAGCGGTGAAATGGCATCAATCACCTTTGTCGTAAAGCGTTGGTCTTACTTGTCAAAGGTTGTGGGTTCAATCCCAGTCCAAGTCAAGTTTTATAAGCTCTTTTTCCGTTTCACTGTTCTAGTTACGAAGCTGGGTTCGTGTTTTGGATGCAGTTTTAAGGTCTTCGAAACATATCATCTCTCCTGAGCTAGGGACACTTGGATATACTGGATGGTTTCATTACAGCATCTTGCACACACGAACTGTGACTAGGCTCATAGCATGGGATATTAGGTGGTCTTCAGACGTAGTTCAGTCTTTTCATTGTGCAGAGCTTGCAGTTGGTTTGGATTCTACTATAAACTGTTGGTCTGAAGGGTGTGGTACAATAGATTCTGTTCTAATTTGAATTGCAGTGCCTTCAGCTCAAAAAAGCTGGGCCCTCTCCATGCTTTACCTTTTTATCATTCAGAAGATTTCTAAGTTTGCTAAATTTTGAATATGATCAAGGCTATATTAAACTAGGGTGACCATCTAATTTTTATGAAAATACAGGACATTTGATAAATTTCCTAAAAAATACAGGACACAAAGAAAAATTTAAAAATTAACGGAAATTTGCATGAAACAAATACAGGACCTGGAACAAAATTTTCAAATTTATACAGGACAGGGTTTTGAAATGCAGGACTGTCCATTGTAAAACTACGCAGATGGTCACCCTATATTAAACTCTTCCAGGAAAATACATTTAACCCTTTGCCTATGTTCTTGGTTAAGTTACCAAACCATTTTTGCTTCATAGTTTTAAGTTATAACACAAGTTGGTGATACTCAAAGTGATGGTAGCAAAGCTTGAAGTCGACTGGCCATCGAGTTTTCGTTTAAACATTGTTCTTTCCGCTAATAAATGTGCAGTTCTAAGATTACCACAGGGCGATTCCATGAGTGAATTTTTTTTTTCTCAACTCAATTTTTTGTAAATATTTCCTTAATTAACTTCATTTAACGCCATATTTAAGATTTATTTTATTTATTATTATGGTATTTATGTATTTTAGTGCATAATCTTTTAGTTAAATCTGTCTGACAAAAGATATTTTAAAAAAGCCAAACTTAATCGGTCAACTTTACAAAAAATTGATTTTTAAATTTTTATCAATATTTCTTTGAATATCCATTGTTGTGTTACAAATCTATGATAAACACACGTGAAATCGCCTGTGCTTTATAACAATATCTTATTTGTATGTCTTACTACTGTAATTAAGGAGAAAATTGGGGAAAACACCACTTAATCTGTCAATTTTCAACCGATTATTGCAAAACATATTACATATTTTTGTCAAAATGCAGCATAATTAAGACGATTAAATGCTAATAACACATGAATTGATGAATAATAAGTCTTATTTAGTGAAAAGATATGTTGAAATATGTATATTTAAGCAGAAAAAGCTAAAAAAGTTTTTGAACAAAAAATTTTCAGTTCCATTTACCCATGGAATCGCCCCACAGTAGAAAAAAAATCAGATCCGTTTTAAATAAATTTCTATTAATTCTTCATCATTTCCTAATCTACCGCTCAAAACAATCTACTTCCTACTAATACATCACAGTGTCAACATAGAGGAACTAAAGTTTGATGCCCTCGTCACAATTCCTGTATTAGATTTGTGCATAAAATACAAAATCTAATTCAATTTCCTTGCTGCTCGCATAAAAAATTTTAGAGACATTTTCAAGCTGAATGCTGATGCAAAACTGATTATATATTTAAGGGCGCATCGAATGTTGGAAAATTGACGTGATTAAATTGATTTATGAAATCGATTGCGGTTTTGGTGAGCAACTTTAAAAAATTGAATTAATTCGGTGGGATTAAGTAGTCCTGACTTTCTTTTCAAAAGTATATAACCTGTATTTGAAGTTAAATTGTCTATAATAGTAACGGATATTGTCAATAAGAAAACTGATAAGATTATTTGCTTTTGATTAATTTGAAACTTACACAATACAAAATGTTCATAAACAGGGTTTATAAGATTAAAATCTTCGGAATCTTTGGTTTATGTCCAGTAGCTATTCATCTTTATGCCTTTCATGCCCTTTTTTCCATCAAATCTCAAACTCAGTTGATGTCCAAATTCCCAAAAATCAAATCTCTGACTCATCAACATTATATATGCTAAATATGAAATTAAAAATCATACTTAAAATTCAAAGAATGTCAACAAATTTAAATTTTGGCAAAAAGATGAATTAATTATTTTTAAAATTTTATGATCACATGATGATTTGAAAACTTGATTTTTGTGTCTCTTGCTCTTCCTCAACAAATTCTATTCTCTCTAAAATTATAAATTTGTTTCAAAAAGGCTTTGAAAAATATTTTCCGGTGCATTTAGTTTAGATTTGCGGTTTCGAGTGTTTGGATCAAGAATTATTGAGTAGCTCTTAATTAAGTTTTGCTAATAAATAACGTAGAATTTGACAACACAACTTAATATTAAATTAGTTTAGATCTTTAAGTTTTAAATTGAAAAAATGAAGCTTTTTGTTATATTAACAATCTTATACTTAATTATTGGAGCCTTTGCAGGATTACGTAAGTAAATTTTATAGAAAATTAAAAAGATTAATCTAAGTTTTTAATTAAAATCCAGCTCCAACGGTTCCAAGATGTCGACGAGATCATCCTAACATGAGTCAGTGTATAGTAAATGCGATTGAAGTGCTGCAACCAAGATTTGCATCTGGAGACTTAGGTGGAGGTTGGATAGTACCGAAACTTGAACCATTCCATATTAAAGAGTAGGTTTTGTAAACATTTTAAAACTGTTTGACCAAAAATAACAAATTTTTAATTTTATTTTATTTCTGTGCCTAAACTAGGTTAAGCTATGGAGATGATGGAGGTTTAAAGGTCCATCTAAGAGGTTTAAATATTTACGGAACATCAAAATTCAAAATTGATAAATTACGGTAAGTGACATGATTGGGTTCAGGTTAGGTATAGGTCAGGTTAGGTATAGGTTAGGTATAGGTTAAGTAAAGGTTAAGTATAGGTTAGGTATAGGTTAGGTATAGGTGAGGTATAGGTTAAGTATAGGTTAGGTATAGGTTAGGTATAGGTTAAGTATAGGTTAGGTATAGGTTAGGTACAGGTTAGGTACAGGTTAGGTATAGGTTAAGTAAAGGTTAAGTATAGGTTAAGTATAGGTTAGGTACACGTTAGGTATAAGCTTGGTATAAGCTACGTTTAGGTTAAGTATAGGTTGTAAAATAAAAACAAAACTTAAATTTATCCCCCAAATATAATTCACAGCGCTAATGCACAAGAATTAAAATTCGACGCCCTAGTTGGACTTCCAACATTCGAGATCCACGCTAAATATCGAATGGAGTTCAACTTCCTTGGAGCTCGTCTCAAAAGCAATGGAGACTACTTTGCCGAACACACTGGAGCTAAACTCATCATGCCATTAAGAGGACGTAGATTTGTACAAAATGGAATCGAGAAAATTAGATTTGATCCAATTGCTATCAAATTTGACCGTGGAACGGTAACAAAACTTAGAATATCAAATTTGTTCGGTGGCAACAAAGCACTTGAGGAAATTGTTCACTCATTAATCATTAGTAATCCTGATTTTGTGTACAAAAGTGTTTATCCACAGTTGGAGTCGGAATTGTCGAAAGTTTTTACTGACATTGCCAATAAAATTGTGGAAACGACTACGTTTGATGAAATGTTTCCACTTCAGTGATATTGTAGATTAAGATTCATTAAATAAATAATTTATTTAAATTTAAAAAGTTATTTTTTATGTTTAATGATTAAGGGATTATTTTGTGGTTCCTCTTTTTAGCGCATTTTATTTTCATGAAATGACGCTATTGTCCGCGTTTTGTCCGTCCGTCCACATTTTTTGACCGTTATTTTTCAAATGTATTGAGTTTTTAGATTTTAATTTCTAATCGGATTTTGTTCGGCGAAAATGCGTTTCGGTCGATCACGTGTGATCACCTCTTTACTAGTTTAGGTTTTTATGTGCATTAAATTAAATGAAATTCTTAAGAACTGTTGATTATTACAGTTAAAACTTGTTTTTATTTTTGGTAAGTTTGCATCTTATCGATATTTTCACCAACAAATAAATAAGCTTGTTTCTATTTATCACTGAGAAGCTAGGCAACAGACTATAAATCAGCTATTTTTTTTATTAAAGACTAATCCTCGATTCATGCAGTTCCAATATGACATGCATTGTATTAATGCTCACAAGAGTAAATCATCGATCATCAACGATTCAAATGTCCTCCAAATTTTTAATGCAAAAATATATTTGCGGTTTTTTTGACAAGTCAAACCAGAATAGATCGCATTCCAGTAGCTCAAGAATATTTTATCTTTGTCGCTTATACAGTTTTTATTGTGTCTATTTTTAACAAGAAATAATTTTTTCGCCAAAAAAAAGAAGACCAGTTAAGATGAGTTGTTATGCAATAGTTCCAATGGTTCTCAAACTTTTCAAACATATAATACCAATTCGGTGTGAATTAAAGGTTCGTGTGACAATCATTTGATTTATTGCTAGAACATTTTAGTCACGTGAAATGTCATTTCCAAAGAAACATATTTCTATTTTTGGTTTTGAATCTATAAATTATTTAATATACATTAAGTTTGGGCTTATTTGAGAGTGTGGAACTGATAAATTACATTTTGATAATTTTTTGATGAATTTTAATCATTTTTTGATAATTTTTGATGATTTTTTCAGTTCCGCATCCTTGGGCTTTTCAGAGACTCTAAAACCAGAGTTATTAGCAATACCGTGTTTCTAGAGTGACTCTAAAATTAACAATCACCAATTCACTTTGAAATCTAAACAGCACAACTCCCGAAGTCCCATAAAAACTGTCTCTAAGTATCTTCAACAATCATATCTCAGATGTGCTTAAAAGAAGCTGAAACAACCATCCTTACACCGCAAACATTGCTCCTCGTTAAAAATACTCATTAATAGTCATCCAAGTAAATTTATTATCTTTTGTAGATGTTGACGTCTGCAATGTATTCTGCCTAAAAACCAAGAATGCGCTCTAACGTAAATCATCAAGAATCTGAATAAAAACTAGTTTTTTTTGAAGTTTTTCCATAAAATAAATTCTGCTTTGTCCACTGCTTCACAAAGCTTAAGCTTATAAAAATTCAAATAATCTTACATGCATCTCAGTTTGATTTAGGAAGTCTAAAAGTGAAGTTTGAATACATTTTATTAAGTTTTGGATTGTTAAGATTTAAAAAATGAAATTTCTAGGTGCAATTTTTGTGATTTTTATAGTAGCGGATGGAATAGTTTGTGTTTTACGTAAGTGAATTGTGTTTGAATAAATGTTAAGGTAAAGTTTCAATAGTTGAATGATGATTTTCGAAAAAGGAAGTGATTAAATATGATTTTGAAAAGAAGGATTCGTTTCTTATTTCCTACAATATATTCAGAGTCAATAACACATTTTAGGAAGCCATAAAATACACAAAAATAAACATCTTAAAAAATAATAAAATAAAATAAATTCGCAAGTCACGATTTATAAATTTGTTATCGTTTCAAAATTGAATATTATTCAAAAGTTCTAAATATTAAGACTAATGATTATAAGGTGCTCAGATATGTCAACAATTTAAATGTCAATTTTTTATTTCAAACGTTAAGCTGTGAATTAGAGTTAAATTCAAACAGTGCAGATGCATAGTTTGGATATGGCTCTAAGAGCATATCTAGGGTTTTCATTGAAACTGGCTTTATGTGTATTACGGATAGTCGAAGTGAGATAAGTACATCGATGACCGAATGGCAGGAATCTCTGATCGAGTGGTCAGAAATCGCCTCTTTTGAGGTCGTAGGTTCGATTCCCATCGAACCCGACTTGTATTACATTAATATACACACAAAGCAGTTATAGGGAGATCTACAGATAACAAGTAGGGCACCTTAATTAAAAATTAATCTTTATTTTTATCAAAAATTTATCTTAGCTCCATCAATTCCAAGATGTAGACGGGATCATCCAAACATGAGTGAATGCATTGTTCAAGCAATTAAAGCAATCACGCCAGGATTTGTTACTGGAGATTTGGGTGGTGGCTTTCGAGTTCCATCATTAGAACCTTTTTATATTAAAAAGTGAGCTTAACATCCTGAAATGGAATCAAATTAAATTAATTAAGCGCTTTTATTAACATTTAGACTCACAATGGGACGAGATAATGGACTTAAGGTCTATCTTACAGACGTAAATGTTTATGGAGCTTCAAATTTCAAAATTGATAAGCTTCGGTGAGTTCAAACTTTCAAATTAAAATTAAAAAATAAATTAAATAATTTTAATATTTGCAGTATAAATGTCAACGACCTCAAATTTGACATTCTTCTTACCCTTCCGAAATTCGACACTTATGCAAAATACAAAATGAATCTTAATTTCCTCGGATCCGTCATAGCAAGTGACGGTCACTTTCACACAATGCATACAAATTCTAAAGCTAAAGTCACAATGAAGGCTAATAGATACTTAAAAAATGGCGTAGAATTCATCAAGTTTGAACCATTCACCATCAAACTTCAACGTGGTGGATTCAAAATAGTAAAAATCACGAATCTATTTGGCGGCAATAAAGTTCTTGGAGAAATTGTCACAACTTTAATAGAAAATAGCAATGAAAATTTATCATCGAATATTTATCCACAATTGGAACTTGAACTGTCGAATGTTTTCACAACGATTTCTAACAATATTATTGAACATGCTTCATACGATGAGCTGTTTCCGGTTAAATAAATGATTTTGTGATTTAAAAATGTTTAAAGTTAATAAATTAACCCGTTAATTACGGAATTTTTTTGGGACATTAGAGTGTATTTATTTGATGGATTGCAGTATAAAAATAAGTTTGACGAAGAGTTTGGCTCAATTTAATGAACAGATTTAATAAAATTAACAAAATTCGTCCGTAACATATATGTTACGCTAGGATTTTGCAAGCAAAAATTTTTTTCTTCCAAAAAATTTAATTCCTTTGTTTCTCCTTTTTCTTTAGCATATGTGAATAATAGCATAATTTATTATTAGTTTTATGCTGTTTTACTTCAAAAGAGGTCAAATTTGAATACTGTAATGCACCGATTAACGAAAAAACCTTAATTTATTTACGCTTTTATTTTATGTCATATCTTTCAAATGAATCATTTCTCAGCATTTGGACCTCACTTAGCTCCTTATATACACTCTATTTTATAAACTAATGCACTATGAATCACTCAAAATTACTCTAAATAATAAAAAAATCAATTTCAAATTTTCTCTTAATTTTTTGATGGTAATTTTTTCAAACATAAAAAAATCCTCTTTAAAGCACTCATTCTAATATTTTTTCCACTGAATCACTTATTTTTATCATAATTAATCAGTACACTTAATGATTTGACTTAATTCATAGCCAAATTAATTTAGTTAATTAAATTATATTTTAAATCCTAAACATTAAAATACTTGCAAAAAACTAGCGTTACACATATGTAACGGGCAATTTATATCAGATTTTCCTAGCGTTACATATATGTTACATTTACTATCGTCACATAGTTAATGTATTTAACTATTCTTTTCCTTTATTAATGAGTTTTTAACTATAAGTATAGATGCTTTACTTTATAAATCTGTCCAGTTCTGATCAAAAATGTGACAGAAAATGTCAAAATTTTGAGTTTCAAAATTACTAAAATTTCCATGTAAGAGAAAAGTTTAATTAATTTCTCCAATTTACATAAATTAGAAGCATAAAGTATTAGGGAAGGTACTTGATCTAGCTTTAAATGTAAATCATTAATCAGATTCAATGTAAAATCAATTACTGCAGAGAATTTTAAGAAAAAGTTGGCGTAACATATATGTTACGCTAGTAAAGAACGGGTTAAAATTACTATTATGCAATATGACTAGCTTTTATGAAGTTTTTGAAGATATTATGTTCAATGGGATTTAATTATTTCATTTAAGCTTTTAGAAATGACTAGGAGCTCATCAGTTCATAGATCGCATTGTCACTTGTGCTCTAAGCAAAACCCTACATTACATTCTATCTGTCAAAGAGTTGATCGTATATTTGTATCGCTTAGAGAACGAGGAAGGAATTCAAGTTTTGTTCTGCTCTATAATCAATTTAATTGGTCTTTGCCAAATTTTGTTGCCCTTATAAAAAAGAAGGAAGTCAAATATGTATATTCTTTAGTGTTACGGAATATGCAAACGACCTCAGATACTGTGGTTCTTGCGTGCTGACTCCAAGTTTAGTAAATGGTCAAAAACCATTGAACTCTTTTAAGCAAAAGTAAGGAATAGGGTCATTAGGAGCTTAAAAATCCCCAAAGCAGTGGCGTAGTGGATAGAGTCTTAGCCAACCAACCCCAACAACCCGAGTTCAATCCCGGATAATGTCTAGCCAAATTTGGATGCTTTTTTTGCTAATCTAGTCATGGCAACTCGGTTTGTATGATTTGAGACGTGCAAACTGTGGCTAGGTACTTTGCATTGATATGCCTTGTGTCAATGCAATTATGCAGAGTTGCAAATATGCTATCGTCCGTTGGAGACAAAATCTGTCTGTAAAAAGACAAAAATCAATTGTCCGTTGAGGACAAAAATAATCAAATAATTTTGGGTGTCAACGCATCGATCATCATCAATGAATTATTTCAAATCTACAATTAAGTTGCAATAGCCGTCGCGCTAGCTAGCCCTCTTAAAATTGTAAAAAATAAAAGGAATGTCCCAAAATGTCCTTGCATTTCTATAGAATATCACTTTACCATAGTATCGTTACTATTAGATAAATGCAAGCAGTTAATCCGCTCAAAAAGCTGATAACAAAAAAAAATGCTTCCACACACATTTTCTACACCGCTACTCACAGTAGCTTATTTCTTCCGCTTTGCAGTTTTTTTTTCTGTCTGGCCTTGACAATCGTTTTTGTGTTTTTTATTAAGTTGTAAATAATAAGTAGTTTTGCAGACAATTTAAGATAATGAATAAAACAACAGTGCTGCGTACACACTTTTATCTAATTTCTTGTTTTTCTACAGTTTACATGACTTTTAAAATGATTCAGTGACAGTAAAGCAATTATTCACGTGAAAACGTACTGGATGTTGTTGACCTGATGTTTGAACTTATTTTAGGCTAAGTTTTTAAACAGCATTAAAAGTCACTCTTTCAGGACAGTCCTTTTGATTAGTTTGTGATAAGAAAATTGTTGACACATCGTTGTCTCTCAAGACTTCATAGGCTTTCTCGAATAAATCTGAGGTTGGGAATCGTTGACGTGACAAAATCCAAACAGACTTTGCATTCAAAAATCCTAAGAAGCTGCTGCAGCTATAAACTACTGCTAAGTTATTATAATCGGTGTAAAGGACATTGTAGTTGCCTTCTGAAGTAACTGTAATTTAAAGTTAAGTTTTAATTGAGTTAAAGACAAGCTGTGGTGCAGTTCTGATCAACAGAAACATTATAGATCAGCCACACTTTTTAAGACGACCCGATGCTGCATAAATTACACCTTTTTGGCAATTTCAACTCACCGGCTTTCCCAAAGCCTTTGAATAATTTTAAAACTACTTACATGGTGCCTCTGGAAATGATACAGTCAACGATCCAACTCCAGGTTTAACAAGTGTTGCACTTCCAATAACTGAGTCTTCAGCACCATTACGAACTTGCGTATTAACAACTTTTACTGTTGAGTCAGCTTGTAATGTATATTCAGCAGTAGTGCAACGTCCACCAAGTTGGAAAATAAATGGATATTTACGGACTTCATACCAAAGTCCCATGTAGCGGTGTACATCAAAATTCTGTACAATACTGACAGCTGGAAATCTTCCGAATCCAGGAACTTGAGATTGTGAGAAGTGAAGAATGGAAATCAAAACAAATAAAACAATGTAGCTGGAAATAATTGAAGTAATTAAATTTGGTTATTATTATTTTTCAGACTTAAATCTTACTTATTCATTGGAACGTCTAGATGTTTCTAAGTTCTTAAATATTAAAGGTTGATTTATTTTAAAAACAGAGCACAAGCTTCACGATTGAAATGAAAATACAAATTGACGATTCTTTTATGTTCTACACGTAGATATACTTCAAATATTGTTTATCTTGTTTGTAATTATTACAACTCTATATTATTGTTTTGATGTTTCTAAGCAAGCGTGTTCATGTGTACTGGAATATTTTCGAAGATTTTACTTCCTCTGCTCTTAGATTTATGAAATTTATTCTTTAATGAACTTGAATAATTTTATTGATTTTTTTAATTTAATTTTAAAATAGGAAGTGACGAGAACTTACAAACCATAGATCTAAGACTGATGAAATTCAATACTCATTTTTTGAATTTTGTTTTTTTTTCAATAGTCTAATTCTGTCGGCTATCATGCTGGTTGCAGCTGATGTTAACCTACATCCTGTGTTCTTCAGTAAAGTCACCAACAATCTTGATCTTGCCATTTATATTAATTTTGTAGGACTTCTCATGAATGGATTTACATTCAAGCTATGTTGACTAGAGATCGTTCTTCCTGTATGCGTAACATTGAGCGGACGATAGGATTTATAGTCTAGATCAGTGTTGTCCAAACTTTTTGAGCTACGGTACACCTTAGGGGTAAGCCATTTCCAAAGTCACACACAACATGCGACTCACGTCATTTACAAAAAAGTTCCATAGCACACCAGTGTGCCGCGGCACACAGTTTGGACAGCACTGCTTTAGATTCATGTGACAAGGGAAGAGGGGGTCTAAAAATATCGTTTCTTGATAGACTTCATATATAAAAAGCTCCTTTTAAGAACTCAAGGTTGACTCAGGGTTTGTATTTTGAATTTATAAGACGGGTTGCTTTACAGATTTTCTGGATACTTACTTGCTTCTCTGGTCGTACAGATCAATTGTGATCCATGGCCTCCTTTAAAAAGCGCCTGAAGCTGGCTCTATCACAGGCAACCGTTTGCCAATTACCAATACCAAGTGTAATACTGTCTCTGTCAACAGCTTCTCTCCAAGAGTTCTTGGGACGTCCACGTGCTCATAATTTTCTCGATACAAGCCATTTAATAGAACCCTAATATTACCTTAATAATGTCAATTATAAACAACTTGAATGATAATTTTATCTAAAACTTTCTCATACCATTTAAACTTATCTAAACAGCTGTAGAAAGCCGTTACAGAAAAAATTCAAAACTTTCGAGTGCGTTCCAAAATCCTCTCAGCATTCTCTCCCTCCAAAGTTTGCACCACAAACATAAACAAACTCTCAAAATAAATTCTATTCAATCTTTTATTACTCGAAATTCTTTCATAATAATAAAAATATTTAACAACAATTTTAAATGCTGAAGGTTGAGGAATTAAATAAAACGAAAAAGGCTGGCGGTCGGCCAACACATGAGGGATGGAATTTGTATCATTTTGAGAAAGTTGAAGGTGATAAAGGAAAATCGGTGGCAAAATGTTTGAAATGTTTTAATCATCTTAAAAATACTACGATTTCTAGGTGAGTTTGGATGGGATTTTTAAGTTATTTATGAAGTTTTGGAAGCTATGGAGAGAAGTTGCTAGTAGCTTCGTTATTTTAACGTTCCATAAACTATGAAAAGGTTGTTAAAAGATATTTGAGAACTTATAAACAAAAATAATGCTCAGACTTAAAAGTAGCCAAGATTCGATCAAAATAAGCTAAATAATAGCTAATCTTTGACTTTTTGTCATTTTAGACTCCTCGCGCACCGGAAGAAATGTGGCAGTGTTCAAATCACAACATCAGCAATCACCCAGCCTACCATAATTCAACAAACTTACCAACCAGTTCAACATCTTCAACAGCAACCTCAAACATTAACAATTACACAAATTCAGCCATCGTCCATGCCACAAACATCAACAATCATCCAGCATAATACTTCACCGCAAATTAGTAAGATTGAGATAGAAGAGTATGAAGAAGATCCACGACAAGAAGAGTTGTGGACACAGACACAAAATATAGAAACTTATGAGGATGAAGTTGTACAAACGGAAGCAACGACAATGGATATAATTGATGAAGATATTCGGAGACATAGAAGAAGTTCTCAGGCACATAAAAGAAAATGCGAAAATTCCTCAATTGATGGCGCGCTATCGAGTTTTCTTATTGGCTGTAATTTAACATTTGATGTAGTTGACTCGAAACATTTTAAAAGTTTTGTGAGCTCACTGAATCCAGATTACAAAATCCCATCAAGTTCGGAACTGACAACGAAGGTTTTGAGTCAACTTAAGGGAATGGACAGTCAGAGTGGAAGTGAGCGAGCGAGATCAAGTAAAAAGAGGAAATATTACTCATCAGATAGTGATTATGATTAAGTTTTGGGTTGATGGTGTATACCAGTGTTGTCCAAACTGTGTGCCACGGAACACTAGTGTGCCGTAGAAATTTTTGAAAATGACACGAGCTGCATGCGACTTTAGTCATGGATTGCCCCTAAAGTGTGCCATGGCTCAAATAGTTTTCAAACACTAAGGTTATGCGAGGAGCACAGAGACCATCTGCATTTTATGTTTGGGTGGTCATCTTACACAAAACTGTGTTACACATCATAACAATATAAGTTAGACTAGGAAGCTCTATATGAAATATATTTTTAACTGTAAATATGCCCAGTAAATTTCAAAAACCATAAGTTCATCATGAAAGGATAAAATTCAATCAATCCTTAACATTTAATTTAAAAACATGTAAATCGCAATTAAAATAATAACAATGAAAAATCTATTTTTTAAGAAATAAAGTTTTATTTAATTTATCGTGAATTGTAAAATTTACGTTTTAAATGTCTGATATTCAGCGATTACTCTTAAATAATTAAGCATGTATCCCGAATGGCACAAATCGGTTAATTGATCAGAAATCCAGCACCAAGCCGGTGTGACTCTGGCAAGGTGCTGTATTTCAATCAAACCATGCCAAAGTCTTGCCAGCTTGGCGCTGAAATTCTATTCGATTAAGCGACTTGTACTATTCGGGTATAGCCTTCAGTAAAGCTCAAAATGACTTGATTTTGGTATGGAATAGCTGACTAAAATTGAGTTGACTTTAAGCTTCACTATTGAAATTACAATTGGAGAATCAATTTTATTAAGAGTGAAGTTCAGACCAGAATTAAATTTAAGCTACTATTTAAGGGATCATTCACTTATGACGTCCAAAATTGCCGGTTATTTTTAAAAAAAGAGCAATGGATTTTCGGGAATTTTTTTTGTTCTTATTTTGCTGAACCCCTCCCTACCTGGACGTTATAAGTGAACATCTATTGCAACCATGTTTTTCATTTCATCACTGCTTCTGAGCCTTATCCTTCCTATTAAGCATAACAAATCTTCCATCTAGTTCATAATTTATTGGTGATTTCTTTATAATGTAAGCTTCCATAATATCTTCACCAAGTAATCCAATTTTATGGCTAACTTTGTTTTCCTGCAGCATTGTATATCCATCACCTCCGTTAGCTATAAATGACAGAACAACGATTCTATACATTTTGTCATTGACAACATTTTCAAATTGATCATTTTCGTTCTTGATTTTTAACGATACAACCTGGTTCCCGACAGGCATTGACATATCAAAAACAACTTGGATGCCTGAAAAGTGCAGCAAAGATCTTGTGATTGAAAGTTCAAATGCACTTTTTAAAGTAGTTCCATTGAATTCTAAAATATCAAAAGTATTTCCAAATGGGAAGAAAGTCATTATGTCACCATAAGTTATAGGTCCAACTGGAAAGCTGCTTCTCATTGCTTTTGTTTGCATGATTGCTGATTTAATGCTTAATTCTGGGAAAGCTAATTGTGTTTCAGCTACAGCTGCATCTGCTGTTAAGCTTCCGACTGCACACTCACCAAGCCAACAATCTGTTTGTAATAAATCAACGGTTGTGGATCCAATGACTCGATGGCTGATCTCATTAACTTGTTTTCGCCATGGAATCAATTCAGCTTCAATTTCTGGATCTTTGACTACCTTCGGACCAAGAAAAATTGGATTTCCTCCAAAACTTTTGATATTTCCGTTGATGTCGAAGATAACTCGAAGGTCACCGACGTATCTGGTGAATGCAAACGCTTGAACAACAAGGACTTGTCTGTTTCTGTCATTTATAGGATTTATAACGATTGGATATGGTCCGGAAGTAATTGTGTCAAACCCAGGAAACTGTGAATCAGTTGGACTGAATATGAATGAATGAGAATGTCCACCAACAACAATATCGACAAGGTCACCAACTTCATCAGCTATTCTGGTGTCTTCAGACAGTCCACAATGAGTCAATGCTATGATGATGTTGATTCCTTGATTCTTAAGTTTCTGAGATTCTTCTCGAATAGCTTGAATCTCGTCTATGAACTTAAGTTTCCCAGTTGAAGCTATTTCATATGTTTTGCTGTGAATGGCACCGACAACTCCTATTTTTCTTCCAGATCTTTCAATTACTATGGATTTTCTATACAAATTTTGAATTTGTGGCTCATCAGAATCATCAATATTTGCAGCAACAACTGGTGATTTTAATTGCTTCAGTAATGGCACCAAACCTTCAATTTTGTGTGCAAATTCATGGTTACCAATTGCAATTGCATCAGCTGGAAGAAGGTTGAGGAAGTGTGCAGTTACGTTATATCTTAAAAGATTATACCAAACAGTTCCTTGAAAGTTGTCAGCAGCATTTAGAAAAATTGTATTTGTTCGATTTCTCTGCAGTTGTTTCACAATTGTTGCCATTCTGGAATATCCACCGATACATACTTGACCTTGTCTACATGGCAATGACTGGTTATTCGTTTCCTCAAATCTCGCATGAAAATCATTGATGTGAATTAATGAAATTTCAAAATCTTCATTTACTGGTGCAGCAATGACAGAATTACTTATGAATGTGACTAAGCAATTTTTACTGATAAGCAGAAAGAGCCAAATAATGAACTTCATGCTGAAGATTTTTTAACTAAACTGACTGAGACGAGTTGGGACTGAGTATGTATACAATGGGAGATGAACTAGATTTTTGAGCTGTGTAAGTGTACGAAAATAACTTTTGTTTTACAATTTTTGAATGGCTAGTATATGTTAAGTGATGTCAGAGTTGACATGACTGACTTTAAAAATGTAAAAGATCAATTCTCTCAGTTCTCTGATTTTCAACTCTGATTGATGCTAATGATGCGAATTTAAAATTCAAATATAGAGTTTATTATTTTTTAATGTATTTTAAAATTTGATTAGCTTGTCTTATTTATTTTAATTTTATTTAATATGAATTATATAATCTTCTGGTATTAAAGTCAATAAATCTAATGACAATACCCAAAAACAACCCTGTGTCAACATTGAATTGGGTCAGATACTCGATGTGCCAATAGATTTTATCTACCATACCAAAAAGTACAAACATTAATCACTCATAAGAGTATAATTTATTATTGAGCTCAACATCTTGATATTAATGAATTTGCACCTTGATTTCCTCAATTTTTATGCCTATTAATATCCAGAAAAATTCTATCCTAATAGAAGACCTTCTATTTATTCTAAATGCAGCCACTACATCTTAAAACTCTAATTCAACATAACAATCCTTCCATCAACTGCATAATTTATTGGTGACATTCTCCTAATATGCGACTCCATCACATCAACATCAAACAATCCAGTTCTCCAGTTTCTTTTATTCTCTGGAATCATGGCATATCCATCGCCGCCATTAGCCAAAAATGATGGAACCACAACTTCATAAAATTGATCTAAAATTATGTTTTCAAATTGATTATTTTCATTTTTCATTCTTAATGACACTACTCGACTGCCTGAAGGCATTGCAGCATTAAAAGTGACTTGAATGCCGGAAATTTGCAGCATGTCTGCGGGAATGAATTCAGTTTCACTCCAAGATCTAGCAACTGAGTGTTCAAAAATGGCCATTAAAGTAGTTCCATTGAGTTCTAAAATATCAAAGGTGTTTGCAAATGGAAAGAAAGTCATTATGTCACCATAAGTTATAGGTCCAACTGGAAAGCTGCTTCTCATGCCACCAACTTGTAAAAATCCAGATCTAATATTTAATTCAGGATGTGCTAGTTGAGTTTCAGCTACAATTCCATCTGCTGTGAAGCTGCCAAGTGCACATTCCCCTGACCAACAACCTAGGTGCATTAAATCGACAGTAGTAGATCCGATGACTCGATGGCTGATCTCATTTACTTGTTCTCGCCATGGAATCAATTCAGCTTCGATTTCAGGATCTTTAGCGACATTTGGACCAAGAAAGATTGGGTTTCCTCGAAAACTTTTGATATTTCCGTTGATGTCGAAGACAACTCGAAGATCGCCAACGTATCTGGCGAATGCAAATGCTTGAACAACAAGAACTTGTCTGTTTCTGTCATTTCTAGGATTTATAACTATTGGATATGGTCCGGAAGTAATTGTGTCAAATCCAGGAAATTGTGAACCTTGAGGACTGAATAAGAATGAATGAGAATGTCCACCAACAACAATATCCACAAGGTCACCAACTTCATCAGCTATTCTGGTGTCTTCAGACAGTCCACAATGAGTCAGTGCTATGATAATGTTTATACCTTGATTTTTAAGTCTTTGAGCTTCTTCTCGAATAGCTTGAACTTCATCAGTAAACTTTAGCCTTCCAGTCATTGCAATTTCAGCGGTTCTTCTATAAATTGCACCAATAATTCCAATCCTTCTTCGTCTTCTAACAATAACAACTGATTTTCTATACAAATTTTGAATTTGTGGCTCATCAGAATCATCAATGTTTGCAGCAACAACTGGAGAAGTCAGTTGTCTTAGTAATGGCACCAAACCTTCAACATTATGCGCAAATTCATGATTTCCAAGAGTAATTGCGTCAGCAGGAAGGAGATTAAGAAAATGCGCAGTAACATTGTACCTGAATAGACTATACCAGACACTTCCTTGAAAATTGTCAGCAGCATTTAGAAAAATTGGATAATCTCGATTTCTATTCAGTTGTTTAACAATTGTTGCCATTCTGGAATATCCACCAATACAAACTTGTCCCTCTAGACATGGCAATGACTGGTTATTTGTCTCCTCAAATCTCGCATGAAAATCATTGATGTGAATTAGTGAAATTTCAATTTCAACATCATCGGCTCCAGTAAACACTAGTGCAAGAATGATTGACACGGTCACAAGAACGATTCCAAAGATAAAGATGAGCAGCCAGTAAATGAACTTCATTTTTATGACTGTTTTGACTGACTAAAGCTTGTCAACTGATTGGTACAGTGATTAACTTAAAAATGCATTGCGTCACAAAAGATTGATGATTATGATAAGATAAAGCAGGTTATGAGACATCTGTGAAGTGGTTTTGGATAAAATTAAACTTCCATGCTAAATTATTAAGTTGGTAAATGAGCCTGATTGATTATTTTGCTTGGATTAATTCATCCTAAACTAAGATAATGTAGAATGACTTTATTCAGACTAGGTGCGATGGTCCGTACAAAATTTGATGTACTTCTCTCCAGATTGTTCTACGTCAATTCTTTCTTACTTCTTTCTGCTAGAGCTACAAGTTTCATTTATGACCCACCTTGACCCGACTAGGGTTGACTCAGCTAACACTTAATCTTCATCAGCAAACTACCATGTTACATATTTTGTTCCCATCACCCTTACGACTGTCTGGTTGATACCAAAGGAGCGGAACTGATAAATTAAATTGTGAACATTTTTATATTCACACCGTTTTCACGTGTGAATCTATTGGTTTTGTTCAGATTGAAAAATCAGTTTTTCGCATTTTGTGAGAAAACAAAGCAAAATTGGTTATAAAAGGGCAAGAAGAAAAGTTTGTGCCTGAAATTTTACATCATTTTCAAAAAACAGATTTCAAATTGGTTGTGGCATTGCTGAGAAAATCGCAAAATACGCTTTCTGTAAGCAAACAAGCAAGCAAGCAAGCAAGCAAGTTAATCAGCAAGAAATCTCAATAACGAGACATCGTAGAGACTTCTAGTTTTTTACATTTGATCCGTGCTACTCTATAGAAGAGCTGTATTGTTTTTGGGCAAGGTAGGAACAGCCGTTGCTTCAGAAATGGCAAAAAACTTTCCTTTCTTACGAATTTTTTAAAACAAAAGTTGACTGTGATTTTTATAAAATTCAACTTTGGATGAAAATTTTTTTTAAAAAACTTTTAAAGAATATTTGGCATATTCGTCAAGCTTTATACCTTCAAACTTATGCTGAGTGTAGCTTAGCTGACTCGATAGCTTTATATCTTCAAACTTATGCTGAGCGTAGCTCAGCTTACGCGATAGCTTTATAACTTCAACTTATGCTGAGCGAAGCTCCACTGCCTCTCTAATTTCATATCTTCAAACTTATGCTGAGCGTAGCTCAGCTGACACTCTAGCTTTATATCTTTAAACTTATGCTGAGCGAAGCTCCACTGCCTCACTAGCTTCATATCTTTAAACTTATGCTGAGCGTAGCTCAGCTGACACTCTAGCCTTATATCTTCAAACTTATGCTGAGCGTAGCTCAGCTTACGCGATAGCTTTATAACTTCAAACTTATGCTGAGCATAGCTCAGCTTACGCGATAGCTTTATAACTTCAACTTATGCTGAGCGAAGCTCCACTGCCTCTCTAATTTCATATCTTCAAACTTATGCTGAGCGTAGCTCAGCTGACACTCTAGCTTTATATCTTTAAACTTATGCTGAGCGAAGCTCCACTGCCTCTCTAGCTTCATATCTTCAAACTTATGCTGAGCGTAGCTCAGCTGACACTCTAGCCTTATATCTTCAAACTTATGCTGAGCGTAGCTCAGCTTACGCGATAGCTTTATAACTTCAAACTTATGCTGAGCATAGCTCAGCTTACGCGATAGCTTTATAACTTCAACTTATGCTGAGCGAAGCTCCACTGCCTCTCTAATTTCATATCTTCAAACTTATGCTGAGCGTAGCTCAGCTGACACTCTAGCTTTATATCTTTAAACTTATGCTGAGCGAAGCTCCACTGCCTCTCTAGCTTCATATCTTCAAACTTATGCTGAGCGTAGCTCAGCTGACACTCTAGCCTTATATCTTCAAACTTATGCTGAGCGTAGCTCAGCTTACGCGATAGCTTTATAACTTCAAACTTATGCTGAGCGAAGCTCAGCTGCCTCTCTAGCTTCATATCTTCAAACTTATGCTGAGCGTAGCTCAGCTTACGCGATAGCTTTATAACTTCAAACTTATGCTGAGCGAAGCTTAGTTGACTTATCAAGCTTCATACCTTCATACTTATGATGGGCAAATCTTGGTCTACTCATAAGACTTATGATAGTACGGTGTGAATATAATCCGCATTGGGTTTCTACCCGATACACTAGTTTATCATTTCATCAGTACAACTTACTTACTTACATGCTTGCTTCGATGACCTTACAGATTAGTTGCGATCTATAGCCTCCCACAGATGCCGCCTAAAGTACCTCATCAGTGTCACAGCCTTGGTTAATACACATCGGTTTTGATTTTAAATTTAATATAACAAAGTTTCATCTTTTTATCCGATTCTAAGTTTTGACACTATTGCTTATCGTTATCAGTTAAGGCAGGTCTTTTAAATCCGAGTTTGATAAAAAAAAAGTGTAAAATTACACCTGAAAATTTTTTATTTTACCACCAGTTGAGTCGAAAATGTTTATTGATAAAGAAGCAATTTATAAATCTTTAGAATGGCATTCGAGTCCAGTGGGTAAGCAAAATTGCAGGAAATAGTGCAATAAATAGTTAATTAAGAGTGTCGAATTGTGGAATTATTGATAGAAAAGTGAATTGTTGCATGAATTATTACAATAAGTTTGGACTTTTAAGTCAGAATTCAATGGTTTAAAAGAAAAGCCGAGAGCTTTGAAAAATATTGATAAATTTAATCTTCAGTGTGAAGTTCAAGGGACAGACATTAAGAGAGTTTTTGTTATTATCAGTTAGATTCTTATGACAGCATGCACGCTTTTAATATTGACCGTTACATTTTTTATTAAACTTTCTATTATTTTTTTTTTGAATTAGATTGGTGTGAGCCAAACTATGCTGTGGTTCCATATATTGTCGAATATTATAATACGGTAAGTTCTATATTCAAATCAGGGGCTGTTGTTTACGATTAAGTATCCCAAATGGCACAAGTTGGTTAATCGATTAAAAATCCGGCACCAAGCTAATGTGACTATGGCATGGCGCTGGATTTAAATCCAAGCTAGCACCATTCCAGAGTCATGACGGCTGTGCGCTTGATTTTAATTCGATTAACCGACTTTTGCTATTCGGGTATACTAAACCTTTGAACCTAGGACCTAAAAATCAACCATCATTTGACAGCCCAAATAAATCCATCAATGATTTGCTCATGATATAGACAACAATCCTGACTAGCAATGGATTGAATGAACTTACAATTAATCTTCTTCTTTTTCCTGTTTTAGCTGAGCAACTTCGCGTTCCTGATTTTCCCGCCATTAATGATTTACTTATACCGTGGATATGCAAATAAAATAAGTTCAGGAATTCATATCGTTTGGATTTTCTATATGATTGTTGGAGTGTCTTCAATGTACTTCCATGGAACGTTATCATTAATGGGACAGTTACTTGATGAAATATCAATTTTATGGGTCTACGCGATTGGTGTTTCTCTGTACTGCCCAAGATCATATATGCCACCATTTGCCAGCACACGTGCATCATTTTCAGTTTTTATATTCATTTTGAATGCAATTTTCTCAATTTTATCAGTTTGGCGACCTTACATCAATGCATTTGTTCAAATGTTTCTTTGTGTTATACCGTTGATGACTTATTTGTATCTCGAATTGAAAAAGATCAAAAAAAGTGACAATGAAGTTTACAAACTAGGAATTAGATCAATGCTTGTTGGGGTAGGCTCAAGAAATTTATTTATAATATTCAGCAATAAAAATCTTTTAAAATTCTAGCTCACAGCAATAACAATTTGGTTCAACGACCGAATCTTTTGTGGATTTTACACATCGTTCGGCATCACATACCTTCATGCAGTGTGGCATATCCTAAGCTATATAGCATCATATACAGCTTTGGTTGTTTGTTCCTACTTGTATGTCAAATTTGAACAGCCAAAGTTTGTTTGTAAAATTACTTACTGGCCACATAAAGATTTGAGGATCTTTGGAATTCCGTATGTTGAAATTGTTGAAAAAAGTGGAAAAAGACGAATTTAAAAAAATAAACTTAAAAATGTTAAGATAATTTTTCTAGAAAAACGATTTATTTCATAAAATGACTTTAAGGTTTAAAGGTACAAAAATATTTTATTAAAGTTAATAAAAATGAATTCAATATGAAAATTCCAGACTGGAAAGTTAAGTCAAGAATGCTTTAAAAGGCTGGAAAATTCAAGGCTTGAAAATTCCAGGCTGGAAGTATTTTAACTGAAAATTTCTAGACTGGAATATTTTTTGGATAAATAGTTTCAGACTGGAATGATGTAGACTGGAAAGTTCCAGTTTAAAATGTTTTTGTCTGGAAAGTTCAAACTAGAAGTTCCAGTCTAGTAAGTTCTCAATTAAACCTAATATTACATATTTTCAACTCTTTCCTTCAACTCATTAAGTTGGTTTTGAACTTCACAAGGCAAATCATTTCCAACTTGATCATTGTAGAACTTTTGAATCTCTTCCGTTTCCTTTAGCCAAAAGTCACGGTCTATCGAGAACAGCTCCTTCATATTAACTTCAGTATTGAGACCATTTAAGTTTATTGAATTTTCTGATGGAATATTTCCGATTGGCGTTTTTTGGAAGCATTTCTCGCCTTCAATTCTTTTAATAATCCAGTCAAGAACACGAGAATTTTCACCAAATCCTGGCCAGAGGAAATGACCATTTGAGTCTTTACGGAACCAATTGACATGGAAAATTTTTGGCATTTTTCCACCCAAATTTTCACATCTTTTCTCCATGCTCAGCCAGTGTTCAAGATATTTTCCAAAGTTATATCCAAAAAATGGTCTCATTGCCATTGGATCGTGCATGATGACCTTTCCTTTATGCTCAGCAGCTGCAGTTGCTTCTGATCTCATAGCTGATCCAAGCATCACTCCATGTTTCCAATTGAATGCTTCATACACTAATGGAACTCCATCAGGTCGTCGACCACCAAATAGAATTGCAGTAATTGGAACTCCCTCAGGATCTTCCCATTGTGAATCCATGACTGGACAGTTGTCAATAGGTGTGCAGAATCGAGAATTTGGATGAGCAGCTTTGCTAGTTGATGCTGGTGACCATGAATTGCCATGCCAGTCAGTTACTGTAATGTCAGGTTCAAGATGACTTTCAAGTCCTTCCCAATAAATTCCACCATCAGATGTAGCTGCGACATTAGTAAACATTGTATTTTTATGGATTGTTGCCATTGCATTAGGATTTGTTGCTTCTGACGTTCCTGGTGCGACACCAAAGAATCCATATTCAGGATTAATAGCACGAAGGTTTCCTCTAGCATCAAACTTCATCCATGCAATATCATCACCAATACATTCAACCTTAAATCCTGGCAATGTTGGCTTTAACATTGCTAAGTTTGTCTTTCCACAAGCTGATGGAAATGCAGCTGCAATGTAACGTTTTGTACCATCTGGTGCTGTAATCGCTAAAATTAACATGTGTTCAGCTAGCCAGCCTTCCCGACGTGCAATTGTACTTCCGATTCTCAATGCAAAACATTTTTTACCTAAAAGTGCATTTCCACCGTAAGCACTTCCATATGACACAATTTCATTTGTGGCTGGCTTATGTAAAATTATTGTACGTTGTGGATCACATGGCCATGACTCCATCTCAACTTTTCCACTTTCTGGAGTTCCAACGGAATGAAGACATTTAATGAAATCGACATCTTTATCAATTATTTCATCCATGACTGCTGCACCCATTCGTGTCATGATTCTCATTGAACATGCTACATATTGGGAATCTGTGAGTTCGACGCCAATTTTGCTGAGCGGTGATCCTAACGGACCCATTGAGAATGGAATGACGTACATTGTGCGGCCACGCATCGAACCTAAAGATTAAATTTGGAATTGTTTAAACTGCATTTAATGGATTTGGCAGGAGAATCTATGTAGCCTAGCTTACCAGGAAACCTGCTCATAATAGAACTCTTATAATCTTCAGGACTGATCCAGTTTCCAAGCATTCCAGTGACTCCCTCAGCTGGTGTGCAGACTGCCTCCTCTCTTTTTTCAGTACAAATAAAAGTCCGACTCTCGACTCTTGCAACATCTGCTGGATTTGTTCTAGCCAACCAGCAATTATCATATTTTGGAAGTTGTGTAATTGTCCCAGCTGCCTGTAAAGATTCCAACATTCTTTCATTCTCAACTTGACTTCCATCACAAATGTGGATGTTGTCGGGCTGACAAAGTCGTGCATTTTCCTCGATAAATGATTTTAGACTTGCTGGTAGACGTGCTGTGTCACCTTTAAGGACTTTTAATGAATGAATTTGACGGAGGAATTGTAATGATTGTGCTGATGGCTGGATGAGTAAGTGAAGTTGAAGTCGTGATGAATGGAAGATTCTGGGAATGAAAATTAAATTGCAGAAGTTAAGGCCAATTAATTTACGAGTAGGTTTTAAAAGTTGAATAATACCACATTATAAAAGTTTATGAAGACTATTAATTTTTCATATGAAGCTTATAATAAGTCGGCTACCTAATTACATTTAATGCAAAATATTAACATGCAATTTTATGATTTCATCACGATTCTTAAAATTAATTTAAATTTAAAGCAAAAATTAATTTTCTTGAATCTTTCAAAATATAAATTTAACATTCATTAAAGGCCGTTCACTTATTCCGTAACAGTAAGACATTATTTAACGGGAAGGTTTTGAACAAGAGGATGCCTAATAACAAATGTTTGTAACTACGTTATGTAATAAATGAACGGCCCTTTAGATTTCATAACTAATTCTGAACAAGATTTCACAATTCCTGACGATTAAATTACTCAAAATTGATTAATGCTTAACTGGCATGAGTCTCGATTATTAAGGAAGTTTTGAGTGATATGAACAATAAGGAAAATACTCAATAAAATGTTAGAATCACGACATTTAAGCTAGATAATAAACAACAAGGCAATTAAAGCTGTCATTGAAAGATTTTCGAACTTTAATATTGAATTTTCGTTGTAAAATATTTCTGGTAATTTTATTGCGACAAAAATTTATAAAATTTATTGAAAGCAAAAGAATTGATGAATTGAAATTTGAAATTTTGATGTTATATCGAACAACTTCAACTGAGTAAACTTGAACATAATTTTGATTTATCCTTTTGTGTTTGGAAACTAGAACTGGGGTCAGTTTTTAAAAACATCGACATCTTAGGAAACCTATTTTGATGAAAAAAATCATTGCGACTTATTTTCACTTTTAAGTAAATTGGACTAGGGTAGGTTCAAAAAGTAGTCTCAAAACTAGGGTGACCATCTGCGTAGTTTTACAACGGACAGTCCTAGTCCTGTATTTCAAAACCCTGTCCTGTATAAATTTGAAAATTTTGTTCCAGGTCCTGTATTTTTTTCACGAAAATTTCCGTTAATTTTCAAATTTTCCTTTGTGTCCTGTATTTCTTTAAGAATTTATCAAATGTCCTGTTTTTTCTTAAAAATTAGATGGTCACCGTACAAAACCAACCCGATATTGTTTGAATAATTACAGTTTTTTGGGTGGTTCCATTATTTATGTTAAAGCAGTGGTGTTTAACCTTTTTTAAGGTCACGGCACATTATTAGTGATAAGCAGAGCTCGAAGTTGACTCGAGTTGACTCTTCATACAAAAAAAATTACCGAGTTGACTCCAAGAAAATGAAGTCGACTCGGTTTTGAATCAAGTCGAGTCAACTCGAGTCAACTCGAATCCAATCGACTTCAAGCTCTGGTGATGAGCCATGACAGAAACCGCATAATGCATAAGGTTCGTGGGATTAATTGAATATTTTTGTGGCACATTTGTGTGCCGCGGCACATTGGTAGGCCATCACTGCTGTAAAGCAGTGCAGTCCAAACTGTGTGATGTAGAAAAAATTCAAGAAATGCCACGAATCGTGGACTTCTAATTAGGTTTAAATGGCACAAAAAAAAGCAAACAATTATTTTAGAGTTCAATGTAAAGTCTGATACTTCCATAAACAATAAAAATTTAACAAAACATTTGATTTTTAAAAAACAAATTTATTAGTTTTTAAATTTTATGTTTCAATGCACGACATTATTTATTTCTAAAAGCCCCATTAAAATACGGTCTGGTTTATAGTCGTGATTCTAAATATTCTAAACCTAGTTTTTGTTTTAAAATGCTAGCAAATATTAGTTTGTATAACTGCAACTGTTTTAAAAGCTGAATATTTCAATAAAAAATAGTTTTGCTTAAATAATGAATTTCCGACTTTATAAGGTTTAACAATTAAGATTTGATCAAGGCATTGACACCGAATGAATAATCCTTTTGTTCTGGATGAAATCGGGTGAAATTTCTATTGTTTCAGATGGTCTAGACCAGTGCTGTCCAAACTATGTGCCGTAGAATTTTTTTTAAATGACACCAGTCGTATGTTGTGTGTGACTTCGGTCATGGCTTACCCCTCAGAAGTACCGTGGCTCAAAAGAGTTTGGACTACACTGGTCTAAGTCAATAAATTAAATTTTATTAATTAAACTAGAACGTCTAGTCAATTTAATCTTTTAAGCAATTAAGCATTCAAATCTGACACAAAAATATAAACAAAATCTAGTAAAAGCCGACAAAAATGTCATCAAACCCGAATTAAAATCATATGGCAACAGCTTCAAAAAATAATTTATTTCCTTGATAACGAAATCCCGCGTACGAATAAAAACAATTTCAAGCCCACAAAATTACTCTTCTTTTATGCAGAAACGTGACTTTTTCAGAAATTGCCACGCGATACACAATCACAAAATGAGTATTAAGTCTCGCTCAGAGTTTTTTTCTTAGATAGAAAGTGGACTTATCAGCATTTAAGAATGAAATGAAAAAGTACACAACAAAGTTCAAAATTTTGGACCTTGGACTGTGGAGAAGACTTTCATTATTCACAATCTAATCTTTGACTTAGCTCTTAAGTCTTAAAATACATCTTTTTTGATTTTTTGCAATTTTTTAATTCATTTCAAATTGTTTTAATAAATTATATTCCAGACGTGAATCTGAAGAAAGGCTGGCATTGCTAATCTACAAGACTTAAACTTATCAATTACACATAAATCCCAGAAAAAATTGGAAAGTTTGTTATCTTGTCTAAATTTGTCTTTTTTTAAACTTAATTGAACCTCTTAAGCTTCACTTAATCACTTTTATCCAACACCAACAGACACAAAAACTTCACACATTATCAATAATTATTCATTCTTTTAAATTTTGCATATTTTTTTTTTCGCTCAAACGTTGCTTAACCTTTCAAGCCGGTTCTTTTTTGCTTCCGCTTCCAAACTGCATGAATATCACTTTTGTTTATTTTTGGACTGACATTTTATAAGAGTTAAAAAAGAATGCAGACATAAGAGAATTGAGAATGAATTCAGACCAGTTTTGAGTTATTTCAATTCGAACGGTAAAATGAAATTGAAAGTTGAATGATTTTTTCCACAATTTACTGTTATGGTTTGAATATACAAAATGCAACGAAATATTATTTTGTAAAATTATAAAAATTATTGCTTTATTTTCTGACTTAACGTAAAGATTCCCAAATTTTTTTTGAGGAAGGCAAGATTTTTTTTTAAATTTCTCGTTTAACAAGTCATTTTTGCTTCCTAAATTACAAACACTCAATGTTATAACTCAGAGTTGTTCAAACTGTGTGCCTAGGTACTCTGTTAAGTGGTAGAAAATTTTTGAAAATGAGGCAAGCCGCAAGCTGTGTGTGACTTTGATCATGGTCCGCTTTTTAAGGGCCGTTCACAAGGCGCATAGCCAGGAGGGTATTATCCCCTCTTAAGCGTTTCAGGCCCTGCTTTCGCTGAGACCCTCCTGGCTTTGCGTCTGCCGTTCACTTATGACTTCCAGGGATGGAGGGCATCAAAAAAACAATAGAAATTCCAAGAAATCAATTGTTCTTTTTTGAAAAATGACTGTTAATATCGGTTCAGGGTTGCGATACAAGCACCTGTGTACAGGTGAAAACCGTACAATTCCTTGATAATTTGTAAGGTTTTTCTATCAGAACCAAACAAATTTTAATAAAAGCTCGCAAATTATCAAGAAATTGTACGGTTCTGTGCACAGATGCCTGTATCGCAACCCTGTTTCGGACTTCATAAGTAAACGATCCTTAAGGTTTTCCGTGGCTCAAAAAGTTTGGACAACATTGTTGTAACTTTATAACGTGAGCCTTAAGAACCGGCGTATTTAAGGTTCAACTGTCTCCTAGGGCGGTGTGAAAGGGTGTAAAACTAATGGAATTGGTTCATAAGTTTCACATCCTTAGGATAAAGCTACCAGAGTAGAAGTTTTAACAAAAAATTAATTTAGTCTGTCCAAAAATTTACTTACGGAATTCTCTGGATGATCCTCAACATTATGATACGATTTTCACTTCTAAGACTTTTTATGATAAAACGAAATTTGCTCTAAATTTATATAATTTTACACTTTTTGGCTGTCTTGTTGCTCAAAATATCCACACTTAATTTGCAAAATTTCTTAAGTTATTTTTTATATTTTTCTGATTTCAACGTTTTACAAAGTTTTCTCAGAATATTTCAAAAGATTTCAATAAAAACAACTTTCGTAGAATATTTAAAATTGACGAATTTATGCTATATCCTTCCAAATCCATCAAACTTCGTAATGGCTATGTGGAGGAAAAAAATATTTTATTAAGTTTTTTTTTTGGTTTTTCAAACTTGTTTATTGGCTTTAAAGTTGCTTTAAAGTTGAAATGTTTTTTTTGGCCTTTTTTTTATTTATGTGTGAATTAAAATTTATACATCATTTTAAATTAAAAACTTGAAAAAACAAAATAAATTTGTAAAAAAAATTTAAATTTGAACTTATTTATTTTATTATTTAAAAATTAAAATTTTAATTTTTTTGAAAGATTAATTTGTATTTCATTTTAATTTTTCAAATTTTTTCAACATTAATTTTTATTTTTTTTTTATTTTTTCTATTTTACAAACAAATTCTTCAATATTTTTCAACAACTTGCATAATATAGCCAATAACTTCCACAAAATCAATTGAATTTCACTTCACCATTGAACTTAAATAAATGAAAAATTCTCTTCAGAATAATAGCAATATATAGCAAAGTATTGTTATCAGCTTATGACAACCGAATTGGACACGAAAATTCCACTCTTGATCATCTTTAACCTTGTACTCACGTACAACGATGTCTTTCCTTTTATTTTGTTACAATATTTTATTTTGCTGACGCGTACAAAACTGAAATAAAAACAAAACAAGAACCGAATTTTATGCACTGCGAGCGGACGAGCCTCCGAAATGATAATGAGAATAAAAACGAGTTTTTTTTTTCTCTTTTTTGTTTATTTTTAGTTCTTTTTGCAACTCATTTGATGTATTTTATTGAAAAACGATGTATGTGAGCGAACTTTTTATGAGTATCTGCGACATGATAGCTGACAATCATGCTCAATGTCAGTGTCAATTGATTTATCTGTTTAAGTTCGATCTATGACTCACAGGTTTCATTCTGTATTTTTAAAGTTATCTTTGTTGACTTGGGTTGTTTACTGACTGATGTCTGTGTTTACATGAAAATAATTTGATGATGCTGTAGACCAATGAGTACTTACTGGCATACTTGATTAGGTTCTATGAATTTTGATATTTTTCATGTTTGAGCAATGGCTTGATTGTGGAATTTATTAAAAGGGAAGATAAAGTTTGGGTTTGTGGTTAGCAGGGTATCTTCTTGACTTCTTCATGCTACTAGTCTAGCATGTACATATTTGTCTTAAAAACATTCCAGACCTCTGTCATAGTGGATGTAGTAACTGGGATCGACAGGAAGAGGTTTATTTCTTAATATCATGTTGAAGAAGAGACTCTCAATGATTTTACTCAGTCTGCTATGAGGTTTATTTCTTGATATTCATCAACCCCAACATCCATTGGCATAGACAGGGGCTAGGGGGTTTCGATGGGAGTCGTATAACTGCTCCAAATCAAGTGCCACACGAACAGAAGCTTTTGGGGTAGTCGTATATCGCTAATTAGCCGACTCGATCAGTTTCTTTGGATTATCCTATTCTTAGGTTGACCTAGAATGTGCTCATGTTTTCATCAAATTATCAGAATTCAACCCAAGATTCTACGAACTTTATTTGGACCAAAAAGAGAAGGGGACTTGTACAAGAGCAGAAGAAACAAAATTATATCAGCTTTTCATTGAAGCTTTTGGATGTTGTACGACGAATTAAAGTTAACAGACTCTGTAGGCCGGGCCGTATTTTTATGAGACCTGTTGAAGCTCCCATTAAGATGGCAAAAAAGCACATGGCCGTCCCAAGAACTCTTGCAGAGAAGCTGTTGACAGAAACAGTATTGCACTTGGTATTGGTAATTGGCAAGCAGAAGCCAGTGATTGAGCTAGCTTCAGACTCCATCTAAGGAAGGCCATGGATCATAATTGATCTGTCCGGCCAGAGAAGTACATACGTACCAAAATTCAACTAGTCTCAAATTCTAAGAAATTTAAACTAATATCCTAAACAAAAACGTAATTCTTGGAAAACTCAGCAAAAATGCAAATTCCCCTAAAAAAAACACTTTCAAGTCCGACGAGGATGAGATTCGAACTCACGCGGGCAGAGCCCATTGGATTGCTGTCGACAACTGAATAAGTTAGCAGTCCAACCTATTAACCACTCTAGCACCTCGTCGTATGTACTTGTGTGATGGAACACTTGACAATTGGATAAGATGTATCGATATTGTTATCAAAAATAAAAGAATTAAGATAAATTTTTAATAAAAATGTATGCGATTGTAAATTTCAGTTGTGTAAATATTGTGGAACCACTAGTGGAAATAATTTGGTACCGAAATTGCAAAATTTATACTTTGACGAATTTTAAAAACATTTATTTTATAACAATTAATCCAACGATTGATTTAACAATTTTTAAATAGACTTTACTTTAGACAAAAACTTTAACATTACCTTACTAAGTTCATCAATACAAAATATAGTCATAAGAGACTTGTTTGGTTCTTTGGATGATGTCAGTCAATAAGCTCATGTATGTATTAACATAAGTAGTTTCAGCACGATAATAAGCTGCATAAGCACACAAATAACTACCAGTTGAATTTTCATGTTTTCCATTGTAAATTAAAGTTTTTCTCCAAATATCTGGATTCAGTTCATAAATTTCAATTAATCGGTCACTAAGTCTCCACATAGCTTTCTCAAATATTTCAATAAAATGATAGGCGACCAAGTAACGATCATAGTCAGTAGTATGTGTATTATTTGTAGCAACGACACGATTATAGGCGCTCTTTACAGCCAGTTGGGTATTCTCAATTGCATGTGATGCAAGGATGTTTGGTTCACAGCTGTTGGCTTCATTTGGATATCCAATAAGATCATGACGAAGATTTTTGACACAATATTCATAAAAGTCAACAGTGTCACCGACAGCTTCTCCAAATAGTTCATAAGCACATAACAAGTTTCCAGTAGCTCTAAATCCAAACTTACGGACTGTTCTGACAAAGTCTCCGACTGGAATATCGTAAAAATCTACAAGTCGGTTAATATAAGCTTCCTCAGCATCAATGTAATCAGCTACAAATTTTTGCAATATTTCTTCGGAAGTCTCATTATTATTTGCAGCTACAGCATCATCGAATGTCTTTTGAATTGCATGCAATTTGGTAAAAGTCTCGTGAGCTTCATTCCTTAGAGATCGTGAGACATCAAAGCAATCGCTGGAAAAGCTTATGTACCGATGTTGTGGAAGTTCTTCATCGAATCGAGGAAATGTAACTCCACCAGATTTTACTTTGTAAATTGCCACGGAAGCAAAAATCACTAAAAATACACAAAAATATTTCATTATTTGAACTTTTTCAATCGACTTATTTTAATTAAATGACTGAAAGTTTACTTAAGTTATGAGCTTTTAAGGCTGCATTATTCTATTTTGCCGAAAACTACTTTCAGGTTTTTATTCAAAAGTCGTGACTTCTGTATTTTAAGGGCTCAGTTTTTATTCCTGAAAAAATGAAGTACAATTAATTTTTTTAATTTTATTTTGTCAATTTAATGAGCTCAAATGATTCTTTAAAATTGGATAATAAAACTTTATTATTTTGCAGAGATCGAAGCCGATTTTTTCGGCTTAACTCAATTTTTGATTTTTTTGATAGAAAAAAGCCATTTGACACCCATTTCAAGTATTTAAATTGAACTTTACATGCTTTACTATGATTCTGTGTAATATTTTGTCAGCATGTAGCTATAGGAAGCTCAGAATTTCAAGTTAAAGAATGTTAAGCCGAAATTTAAGCCGATCGGCTTAAAATCGGCTAAATTGAAATTCTGAGCTCACTATAGCTACATGCTGACAAAATATTACACAGAATCATAGTAAAGCATGTAAAGTTCAATTTAAATACTTGAAATGGGTGTCAAATGGCTTTTTTCTATCAAAAAAATCAAAAATTGAGTTAAGCCGAAAAAATCGGCTTCGATCTCTGTTGTTTTGTTTGAATTGATGTAGTTCTTGTACTTATGTATGAACTTAGATGCATGTTGGTTAAAAATGGTGAAGTGCAAGCTTACCAACTTAGCCTTACTAGCTACAAATACTCGATTCTATACCATGTAAAATAGCTACACAAGGTTATTTTTGTGAAGAGCAGTGTTGTCCAAACTGTGTTCCGTGGCACACTAGTATGCCGTAGAATATTTTTAAAACTGACCAAGGGCGTAGCCAGGAATTTGAAGAGAAGCAAAAAACTCCTAGCAAAATGATGAAATTTCTGTTAACGTCGATGGGTTTGTCCCCCAAACCCCCCCTCCCGGTTACGTGCCTTAAACTGACACAATCCGGATGCTGTGTGCGACTTCGGTCATCGCTTAACCCTCAAGTGTGCCGTGGCTTAAAAATGTTGAACAACACTAATAAAGAGGCTGAACCAACAACTATAGAAAACTTTAAAAATAAAAGCTAGTCACCCTTCTCATGCAAACACACTAAAATCACAATTCATTAATAGAATTACTTACAATTTATTTTATCTAATCAAAAAGTTTTTAATATGATTAATTTTTATCAATAATTAGCTTCTGATTTCTCAGTTTCTCTTTAAACTTCAGCCTAAAATGAGGTTTCTTGCTTTACATCTAATACTTACAGTTTTAATCATTAATTCTGTAAGTTCTGCAGATATTTTGGCGATTTTTCCGATTGCTTCAGTTTCACATAATGCAGTCTATGGAGCATTAACAGATGAGCTTGTTGCTCGAGGTCATCGACTGACAATAATCACAACAACGCCCAAATATAAGAAAACTAATCCAAATGTTGTGGAAATTGACTTTAGTTTCCTGCATGAAGTTTTGGGAAAATTGATGGATTTCAATAAATGGAAAGAAGCTCAATTAGACGAAGTAGCAATGCTTGGGATGTGGACAAATATTCTTGAACATTATTACGAACAACAGTTAAAGCATCCAACAATCCAGGAAATGATTAAAAATAAGGATAAATTCAAGTTTGATGCAATTATTGTTGAATTCATGAATCAAGTTCCATGGCAGGCATTTGCATCGATTTTTAATGCACCAGTCATTGGAATCTCATCGCTTGATATGATGTCTGAGTACCACAGACTACATGGCAATGTCTTCAATCCAATTCTGCATCCAGAAGTAATTTTTCCATTTTATGAAAACTTGACTTTCCTCCAACGTGTCCGTATTGTGCGTTATCATGCATACTATGAGCTTTACTACAAGCATGTTTATAATCGAATTTTTGATAAGCTTATCAAGCGTCATTTCGGTGAGATAAGATTCCCAGTTGATCAATTGAATGCAATTGGTGAGGTCTTGCTGGTTAATGTTCATCCAGCATTGGGACATGTCAGGCCAGTTCTCCCAACAACTGTGCAACTTGGTTTCATGCACATTAAGGAACCAAAAGAGATTATTGAAGAGAATATTAAGCAGTTTTTGGATTCATCAACAAGACCAATTATCTACATGTCACTTGGTTCCATGGTCAAATCATCACAGATTAGTGAAGCTACTTTGAAAGTGTTTAAAGAAGCTTTTGGTGAACTTCCATATGATGTAATGTGGAAATATGAAAATGAGGAAATGGAAGGCAAACCAGACAATGTTTTCGTATATCCTTGGTTCCCTCAAGCTGATCTATTGGCACATGAGAGAGTTAAGTTGTTCATTACTCAAGGAGGTACGTTTTTCAGCTTCATTAGCGTTAACTTTAGCTAATAGCACAATTAAGGGTTTTTGTAATTCGTCTCAAGTTTCAAAAGACATCTCTGCTTGATCTCTCATTTCGTGCTTTATTCCCAAATAATATTTACCCATCCTACACTTCATCCTTTTATTATTTACAATGTTAACAATAAATAATGTTCAATTCCAGGTCAACAATCAATGGAAGAGTCAATTGATCGAGGTGTCCCACTTATAGTCATTCCATTTGCTGTAGATCAAAATGCTAATGCACTTCGGGTTCAAAAACTCGGCATTGGAGTCTCCTTAGACATTTCAACAATCACAAAAGAGAAGCTTAAAACAGCAATTGAAGAAGTTATGACTGGTGACTACAAAAATAATGTCAAGAAGCTCCGTGATGTCGTTAACGATACACCAATGAAGCCTGTTGATAAAGCAGCATGGTGGGTTGAATATGTCGTAAGACATGGTGGAACATTGCATTTGGACTATGCTGGACGTCATGTTCCATTTTGGAAGTATATGATGCTTGACATTATTGGAATTGTTGTTTTAAGTTTTCATGTAGCTTTGAAAATTTTAAAATTAGCATTAGGATGGCTGAAATCTAGAAAAGTTCAAAAACTTAAGGAAAAGAAAAAACTCAAAAAAGGGAAAAATGAATAAAGCTGATAAGTTTGATGTAATTTGCAGCTAAAAAATAAATATTTTTTTTTATAAAAAAATTATGTTACTTAAGACTTCCGAAATTAACGGTCATTTTTCAATAAAGAACATTGGATTTCCAGGAATTTCTATTGTTTTTTTCTTGATGACCGAGGGACTCTCTTCTGGACGTCATAAGTAAACGGCACCTTACTGGTCAACTATGAAACAAGACCTAAATAGCACCAGGCCAACAAGAGGCTAGTTCAGAGTCAGATTTGATTAAATCCGGTTTCAAAATATCATTATATCTGCATGAAGCCACTATTTTCCGATATTTCTGTGTGGCATTATTTATTTATTACTTTCAAAATTAAGGAAGGTAAATGTCAATATTTAAACTTTAGGGCGAGAGTAAATGATTATACAACTTTGTATAACTTGATCCAAAAATGCATTTACTTTAAAAGTTACACCAAAATCATGAAATCTCTATTAATTGTTTTAATTGCTTAACAATGTTATAAGTTGTCTACTTTTGGTTAGAGCATGTTAAGAGTTATTTTTTGAATAGAAACGGTGCGGTTCGGACTGGAATTTTATTTTAGGTTTTGGAAACTTCTAAGAAAACTAGTGTATCGGGTAGAAACCCAATGCGGATATATTCACACCGTACCATCAAAAGTCTTATGGATAGACCAAGATTTGCTCAGCATAAGTTTGAAGGGTGGGTGTGAAGTACGGCCGAGACCCATATCGACACAGTTCAAAAGTTATAGCTAATTTATGTTATAATTATGTCAGCTACAAAAACACTTAGTTTGAATTTTGTCACCCTCGGGAACACTATGAACCAGTATAGCTGAATTTGGTCCAAATCTCGACCATACTTCACACTTATTTGAACCACATTTTCTCGTAAATGTTAAAATATTACTAAAAAGGATTTAATCCTGAATTATGTCGCTATTTTGTCAAGTGTTTTAAGATAAAAAATTTGTTTTTTGGTTTCCACAGTGAAGAGTATGAACAAAATTCAGATGGGGTAGTCGAAATTTTAGATTTCGATTTTTTTAAGCTATGCATTACAAAAAGTAATATTGGTATGTAATTTATGTCAATTCAAATAAAATATCCTAAAAATTTTAAAAAATTTTAATTTTAAACAAAGAACCAAGTAGGAAATACATTTTCAATTTTGGACTAGGGGCGACCCTAGTCAAAATCAATTTTGTCACTTTTTTCTTCGAGGGTTTATCCAAATAGATTGAAACTTTTCATAAATATTCTAGTACTTAAAACAAATACAAATAAAGCTCTTTTAATTTTTTTGAGCAAAGAACTGAGTAGGAAATACATTTTCAATTTTGGACTAGGGGCGACTCTAGTCAAAATCAATTTTGTCACTTTTTTCTTCGATGGTTTATCTAAATCGATTAAAACTTTGCATAAATATTCTAATGCTTAAAGCAAATACAAATAAAGCTCTTTTTATTTTTTTGAGCAAAGAACCAAGTAGGAAATACATTTTCAATTTTGGACTAGGGGCGACCCTAGTCAAAATCAATTTTCTCGTTTTTTCTAAATATTCTTATGCTTAAAACAAAAACAAAACAAATACAAAACATCCTAAAATTTTTTTGAGCAAAGAACCAAGTAGGAAATACATTTTCAATTTTGGACTAAGGGCGACCCTAGTCAAAATCAATTTTGTCACTTTTTTCTTCGATGGTTTATCTAAATCGATTAAAACTTTGCATAAATATTCTAATGCTTAAAGCAAATACAAATAAAGCTCTTTTTATTTTTTTGAGCAAAGAACCAAGTAGGAAATACATTTTCAATTTTGGACTAGGGGCGACCCTAGTCAAAATCAATTTTCTCGTTTTTTCTAAATATTCTTATGCTTAAAACAAAAACAAAACAAATACAAAACATCCTAAAATTTTTTTGAGCAAAGAACCAAGTAGGAAATACATTTTCAATTTTGGACTAGGGGCGACTCTAGTCAAAATCAATTTTGTCACTTTTTTCTTCGATGGTTTATCTAAATCGATTAAAACTTTGCATAAATATTCTAATGCTTAAAGCAAATACAAATAAAGCTCCTTTTATTTTTTTGAGCAAAGAACTGAGTAGGAAATACATTTTCAATTTTGGACTAGGGGCGACTCTAGTCAAAATCAATTTTGTCACTTTTTTCTTCGATGGTTTATCTAAATCGATTAAAACTTTGCATAAATATTCTAATGCTTAAAGCAAATACAAATAAAGCTCTTTTTATTTTTTTGAGCAAAGAACCAAGTAGGAAATACATTTTCAATTTTGGACTAGGGGCGACCCTAGTCAAAATCAATTTTCTCGTTTTTTCTAAATATTCTTATGCTTAAAACAAATACAAAACGAATACAAAACATCCTAAAATTTTTTTGAGCAAAGAACCAAGTAGGAAATACATTTTCAATTTTGGACTAAGGGCGACCCTAGTCAAAATCAATTTTGTCACTTTTTTCTTCGAGGGTTTATCCAAATGGATTGAAACTTTGCATAAATATTCTAATGCTTAAAGCAAATACAAATAAAGCTCTTTTTATTTTTTTGAGCAAAGAACCAAGTAGGAAATACATTTTCAATTTTGGACTAGGGGCGACCCTAGTCAAAATCAATTTTCTCGTTTTTTCTAAATATTCTTATGCTTAAAACAAAAACAAAACAAATACAAAACATCCTAAAATTTTTTTGAGCAAAGAACCAAGTAGGAAATACATTTTCAATTTTGGACTAGTGGCGACCCTTGTCAAAATCAATTTTGTCACTTTTTTCTTCGATGGTTTATCTAAATCGATTGAAACTTTGCATAAATATTCTAATGCTTAAAACAAATACAAATAAAGCATCTTAAAATTTTTTTGAACTAAGAACCGAGTAGAAAATACATTTTCAATTTTGGACTAGTGGCGACCCTAGTCAAAATCAATTTTGTCACTTTTTTCTTCGATGGTTTATCTAAATCGATTGAAACTTTGCATAAATATTCTAATGCTTAAAACAAATACAAATAAAGCATCTTAAAATTTTTTTGAACTAAGAACCGAGTAGAAAATACATTTTCAATTTTGGACTAGTGGCGACCCTAGTCAAAATCAATTTTGTCACTTTTTTCTTCGATGGTTTATCTAAATCGATTGAAACTTTGCATAAATATTCTAATGCTTAAAACAAATACAAATAAAGCTCTTTTTATTTTTTTGAGCAAAGAACCAAGTAGGAAATACATTTTCAATTTTGGACTAGGGGCGACCCTAGTCAAAATCAATTTTCTCGTTTTTTCTAAATATTCTTATGCTTAAAACAAAAACAAAACAAATACAAAACATCCTAAAATTTTTTTGAGCAAAGAACCAAGTAGGAAATACATTTTCAATTTTGGACTAGTGGCGACCCTTGTCAAAATCAATTTTGTCACTTTTTTCTTCGATGGTTTATCTAAATCGATTGAAACTTTGCACAAATATTCTAGTGCTCAAAACAAATTCAAATAAAGCATCTTAAAATTTTTTTGAACAAAGAACCGAGTAGGAAATACATTTTCAATTTTGGACTAGGGGCGACTCTAGTCAAAATCAATTTTGTCACTTTTTTCTTCGATGGTTTATCTAAATCGATTGAAACTTTGCATAAATATTCTAATGCTTAAAACAAATACAAATAAAGCTCTTTTTATTTTTTTGAGCAAAGAACCAAGTAAGAAATACATTTTCAATTTTGGACTAGTGGCGACCCTAGTCAAAATCAATTTTGTCACTTTTTTCTTCGATGGTTTATCTAAATCGATTAAAACTTTGCATAAATATTCTAATGCTTAAAGCAAATACAAATAAAGCATCTTAAAATTTTTTTGAACAAAGAACCGAGTAGGAAATACATTTTCAATTTTGGACTAGGGGCGACTCTAGTCAAAATCAATTTTGTCACTTTTTTCTTCGATGGTTTATCTAAATCGATTGAAACTTTGCATAAATATTCTAATGCTTAAAGCAAATACAAATAAAGCATCTTAAAATTTTTTTGAACAAAGAACCGAGTAGGAAATACATTTTCAATTTTGGACTAGGGGCGACTCTAGTCAAAATCAATTTTGTCACTTTTTTCTTCGATGGTTTATCTAAATCGATTGAAACTTTGCATAAATATTCTAATGCTTAAAACAAATACAAATAAAGCATCTTAAAATTTTTTTGAACTAAGAACCGAGTAGGAAATACATTTTCAATTTTGGACTAGGGGCGACCCTAGTCAAAATCAATTTTGTCACTTTTTTCTTCGAGGGTTTATCCAAATGGATTGAAACTTTGCATTAATATTTTAATGCTTAAAAACATTACAAATAAAACATCTAAAATTTTTTTGAGCAAAGAACCATGAAGGAAATACATTTTCAATTTTGGACTAGGGGCGACTCTAGTCAAAATCAATTTTGTCACTTTTTTCTTCGATGGTTTATCTAAATGGATTGAAACTTTGCATAAATATTCTAGAGTTAAAAACAAATTCAAATAAAACATCCTTAATTTTTTTGAGCAAAAAACCAAGTAGGAAATACATTTTCAATTTTGGACTAAGGGCGACCCTAGTTAAAATCAATTTTGTCACTTTTTTCTTCGATGGTTTATCTAAATGGACTGAAACTATGCATAAATGTTCTAGTGCTTAAAACAAATTCAAATAAAACATCCTTAATTTTTTTGAGCAAAAAACCAAGTAGGAAATACATTTTCAATTTTGGACTAAGGGCGACGCTAGTCAAAATCAATTTTGTCACATTTTTCTTCGAGGGTTTATCCAAATGGATTGAATCTTTGCATAAATATTCTTTTGCTTAAAACAAAAACAAATAAAGCTCTCTTTATTTTTTTGAGCAAAGAACCAAGTAGGAAATACATTTTAATTTTGGACTAGGGGCGACCCTAGTCAAAATCAATTTTCTCACTTTTTTCTTCGAGGGTTTATCCAAATGGATT